ACTTTATTTTCTCAATATCAATCGTATTTTCCGAAGACTAACCATGGTTTATCTGACCTCAATTTTGGGCTAGTAAGGTTCACTTCTCGGCTGTAGTGAGATTTCTTAAACGGTAGATACAATTTTATTCTCGATGTCAGGAATAAACACAAACTTTCACTTTAGAGATTCTTACCTAATTTTACTAAAAGACATTGAAAAGTGTATTCTACTGCAGTGTTATAAGATGCAGTTCACTAGCTAAGTTTGATTACTTGACTGAAGTAACTAAATCAACATAAACGCTAGTAATGTGACTAATTCAGTGACACATTGTGTTTACATAACTCTGACCACTTTGGATAAGGAGACATTTTAGAACTTGTACGTTATAGACATACAACTGTATACTCACTCCCCAAAAATGCATTGCATGAAATACATACGGCCGAAAAAAGTTGCCTTACTATATCGCGAGGTCATCGAATTCTTTTCCTGCTCTTTTCGAATAAGTGTCATAAAAAGTATTTCCAACAAACTACTTTATAAATAGCAACAATCTAAAAGAAGAATATTTTTTTCCAATAAATTCTGATCAGATTCTATGATCATAAAATACATTTGTACAGCCTGAAATCAAGCCTACTTTGGGGCAGATACCTCTTCAAAGTAGTCTCGGATTGAGCATTGGTCGACCACTGAGTGATATGCACAGTTGACCTGGATTAAATGCCCAATGTTCCGTCGGAGACTAAAGGACAGTCTGCTCAATATTAGCTCTTCATCCCGCATATATCAGTTTAACTGTTTCTGCGGAACAAGTTAGACAGGGCATACGATTGGACAGGTGCGTTTCTGGATACGACATCATTTAGCAGCTTAATTTGGAAAGTGCGAAGCGAAGGTGGTAAAAAGTTCAGTCCTAGCGCACCTAGTAGACACATGGCATCACATAGATGCTAGGAAAGGTTTCAACGTCATTCATCACATTCCCAAAACAATATCACGTGTAGCTCACCAACGCCTACTCAACATAGCGGACGCTGTCAGAATAAGATTGGTTAACCTGAATTGTGAGTTCAGAAAGAACATGTCCAAGCGTTACTCCTCCCTTGGTCTTCAGTAAACTGAAGGCCACTCTTGTCTTTTTTTATCCATTTGTCTTTGCGTTTACTATCACATTCTTCATCTTTATAAGTGTTATCCTAAAACTGACAAATATAGTTAGAAATATCGACTTCCTCACAATCCCTTAATCTCACTCTATTTTGAAGAGGCATTCTCCCCTAAGTAGGCTTGATTTCACGCTGTACAAACGCATTTTATGATTGTAGAACCTGATTAGAATTTATTAAAAAGAATATTCTTCTTTCAGATTGTTGCTTTTAATCAATGTTATGTTAATCTTTAAATGTCTGAAACCTAGTTTACTGTATTTTCCTATTTATTATCTACATACCATCCTTTCCATACCGTTACAGTGTATCCGATGTGCATGAACTAGTTCATCATCAGTTAAAGAGAGGTCACTACATGAAAACTCCAAAAAGCAATGAAATGTTCCATGAAAAAATAGGTACGATCACATAAGTGATTAAGCTACGATAGTTATCCACACTCAATGCCAGCTTTGGAGTTAAAATAAGCATTCACTCCCGTCTTAAGGGGATTTCAGCACACTATTCCCATCACCAATCATTTAAATGTCTATTAGGCTTGGTACTTACTACAGAAAACGTTTTACTTTAGTAACAAAAAACACCAACTTTAACCTCATAGCTTCAATCTAGAGATATTATGTTTCTTATCCTAAATCATAATGAGAACATTCATCCATAGACTTCAGTAATCTATAGACTGTTTTCGCAGTCATTTGAAAGTGCATTAGTGTTACCTTCAGAATTTATTAATGTCGCTTTACAGGTCTGTTGCACCATGTTTACAATTACAAAATTCTACGGAGTGGATTACCTTTGGTACCAAGACAGAATTGTAAAACAATCTTATTTTTGCTGTAAAGTTGTGGATAAGGTTATGTTTTATTCTCACTTATTTGATCAGGGATGTAACACCCCTTCTGCTTTTTTGGCCTCAGTAGTCAGGATTTTCGAATGCAGACCAGCATGCACATATTTTGAAAAACGCTAATAAAACTCAAGAACGGCTTTTCCCTAACCTGGACATTGCAGTGAATTTGTAAAATTCACTTAACAAGTAGCTCAGAATTCGACTGATGAATTATTTTGATCATTCAGGTGGAGAAGTAGTGTTACGTTTGTAGTATTGTCTGATCTTCTCGATAGAAACCTTAGTGAGTTTGGTTAAAGTAGTGTTCAACTGAATGATGAAGTTGGACCTAAAGGTGCTATGATACATGCTTGGGTTTATTTATCGTTTACTCTAAATAATCCTTTGAGTCCAATTTAAACTAAGTGAAGAATGTGTTCTAACAACATGTGTTCAGTCAACAAAGAAGCGAAGCGTAAGCACATGGTGGTCGTACCAAACAACTATAGAATACAAGTAAGGAAGTTAAGCTAGATTGGAAGGAAATTAGGTAACACTTTCTGAATTCTGGCCAAAGGAAACCAAGGTGTCGACCAAGTCTACGACTGTACTTCAGTAAGCACCAAGTTTTATTGAGTACCACTTAAGAAATAAGAAAGATTGGCTATCAGTGACCTCAATTCAATAGTAAATACAAATGTACCATATTGCTATCAGCTCCTGTTGAATGAGGCCAGTGGCCAATGGCAACGTTTTTGGAGTTCATGCTAGAACATTGATCGCATGTTAGTTTCAGTGCACATAAGCGGAGACAATAATACTTTAACTGGAAGATCTTTGTGAAGGTAACTCGAAGATGAATATGTGAAAGCTCCATTTAACGAAAATTTTACTAGAAAGTTAATGTGTTATGACAATGTTACTCATGAAGATGAAACCTGAAAACATCTGATATCTGCTGTGAGAACGACAACATATGATGTGAGTTACCACCAAAATGTTTAGATTGGGACTGAGGATCTTGGTGGTCACATTCAAGTTAGGGAATGTATCAGAATATATTCCAGCTGGTTCTTAACAGACAGCGCTTCAGGACGTTGATCACAAATGACTTAATGGCATCTCATATATATGTTGGAGTTATTAAAAAATCAATATGGAGGTTAGGTGTGGCGAACTACATAAACGAGATATATATACGTTGATGGAAACAAACCTCAGTGTGTTGGGATGGTGATATATATAGTACACTTGCCTACTGAGCAGTTGCTTCAACGTTTTATGCTAACTGGAAGAGAATTAAGTCAATGAAAGTCATGGGTCACTAAAACAAGACAAGACATTAGTCTTCAGAGTATCGAATAGTCGATTTAAGCTGTATATGGGAGTTTAGGCTTATCCGCTGAGGTCATCAAAACAGCTAACAGTGGACAGGAACATAACTTAACACTGAAGAAAATTTTATGCTATCTCTTTCATTCTTATGTCTAAGTGTACTTCTTCAAGGCTATTTAAAATCTCGGAACAAGTTATGTAAGAAGCAATATAATTTAATACTTGACTGTATCAGTCTTAGTTAGTTCACACGATGCAGTTGTTTAGCAGATAAAAAAATCTGAGATCCAAATAGTCTGTGGTTTTCAAGCCGCAATAAACTGATATTTGTCATCTGTATTCAATAAACTGTATCGCAAGTTAAAAAGAAAATTATCGGTTCTTTATACAAATATAAAACCATTTTAGTGTAAACACGCACCTGGTATAAAATATTTCCCACTCTGAAGCAGTCTCATCCAGTGTGGTGGTAAACTTAAGCACACCACTTTTAGGTTCTATTTCTATAGGCTGTCTTAGTCCTGTAGCTAAAACCTGAGCTTCATATTCTTCTGTGATTAGCTTTGAATTTGCTTCAGTTTCACTTGCCGGTCGCTCTTGATCACTATTCGTTTGCCCAAACTTTTGGCTGATTAGTTTCGGATGAAGTTTGTTGATAACAAGTGGAAGCGTGAAGTCATGAAACGATACCTGTTTAAAAATGATGGATCATGGAAAGAAGTAAAAGTGTAGGTATGTGACATGAATTACAAAAATGTAAAAACCTCGTTCCTAATAGTTCCAGCTGAAAAAATAGATATTTAGAGCAAATGTAATCCAGAGTAATGGTTCTTGGATTATCCTACTCGTTCCACAAAGAGTAGCTTACTTCCAATGCATCGTAACTTCTTCATTGGTTAAGGAACCTGCTAGGAATAATTACCAGTGGTCAGCTATCTTGATCCATGGAATTCAGTCTACAGCTGTTCATTTTCTGTTACTTCAGGGAATGAATATAGATAGTTCTCGTTTTATCAGAATCATGGCGTTGTTCAACCACGATGTTAGAGTTCAGTTACCAGCACTCATTAGATTCCTATAGTTTTTGTAGTTTAACACTTCCTGCAATATCACAAAAAAACACCAACTCCAACTTTCGTTTGTTTTGCAGAATGTCACTCTCAATCAGAAATTTAGTGTTCTTATTAAAATAACTGTTGACGGTTGCAAGTAGAAGTATTATAACAAGTAACTTTCTTTGATTCTGAATGTCCTTTTAAATTTGGTCAGTCTTTGAGAAGAATGAACCTATGATTAAATTACCGAGTATGAAAACTCAGTATACCTAAGGTGTATCCCATGGAAGACATATATCCTTGGAATAAATACACTTTTTTAGGTATTTGGACATTGAGAACTGAGAAAAAAGGGGATGTTTTGGACTCCCATCGTCGTCACTTTACTACCAGTACTCACTCAATCTTAAAAATAGGATGTTTCACGAATACATAAAGCACTGGTAACCAGAAAGCGCTGAAGTTTAAAGGGGACACACTTTCGCACTTTGATTACCTTATTATACCTTTTTGTAAAGCGCCATTTAAGTGTATGGCCTAATGGTTGGGTAATTTGAATATCAGCTACTCGGTTTGTTAATCCCTTTCCTGCCTTGTTCTCCCTTACCCCAAGTGATGTTAACTTTGTATGCTTTTTTCATGTTTTCCTGTAGTGCCATTTTGTCCACAACTTGACTGTTGATTCTGTTCATTTGTTTCTTGTTCATCACCTAGAATCCCTAGGTATTAGTACCCTTGCCAGTTCATGACAGTGTGGGGTCCGCGGGACAAGAGGAACCAGTGGCTGGAGACTCTAGGGGATATGGCTGAGAACCGATGTCAGTGACGCAGATGTATACATATATTATCTTCATCTTAACACTATACCGATTCCCACCATTTTATCATTCTGCCTTTCTTTCTTCTCGTACTTTATATTTCTTTTGACTGAATTTTCTCATCTCCATCTTTAACCTCACTACCTTTCTACTGGATGTACTGATACGAGCTGTGGCAACTCGGACTGTTACGCAGTAATGCCTGGTCCTATGTTGATATTGATGATGATGATCATGAAGGTGTTGGGATTTCTTTCACTGTTCCCTGATGTTCTATATTACCTTTAACATTTGTATATCTCACGTTTTTGCTTCATCATAGGAATATGCTCGCGTTCTTCATATCCCCTTATGGTTTCCCTTTAACAGTCTTGCTGCTGTAATGTTGAAGCACTCTCTGTAAGGTGCTTTGACAGAGATAAGCCCACAGATACCTCACTTTCAGAGGTTTGTTATTTATTATTCACCACTGTTTATTCATTAAAAACTGTAATTAACACAGATCCTGTGTTTTGGATTTTACGCGTAACTCGATCGTTTGCTTTTTTGTTAGGGAATCCCTTTGGTTCCAAATTTCTTGGAAGCAAATCCACACAACTAAGCTTTCCAACTCATTTTGCCTATCTGAATCTCAGCAAGAAGTTATTATTAAAGCCATCATGACTTTATTATGTGTCATGATGTAATACATAAACTTGTACCAGGTTTCTAATCTGCATCTGTTTGGATCATAGACAAATGAGAAGTCATAAGACCATCAGTTGGTTAGGATTAACATGAGGTCTGGCATTGCCCCATAACTATCCAAGCTGCCACACCCATATCATCAAATCAAGGTAGGACGCACACATATGAAATATAGAAGAAAATGTTCATACGTGATAGAAATTCATGAAAGGACAGTAAAACGGAATGTAACAGTAAACAAGTTTACTATGATGATTAGGATAAAGATGATATATGGACGTATCTACATCACTGAGATCAATTCTCAGCCATTTTATTGAGAGTCTCCAACCACTGATTTTAGTTTATGTGCCAACCCCAATCAGGGAGTCTGCATCTTCCTGCAGAGCTCAGGTTAGCATTCAAAGACTTGATGGAATGATGCAATGTTTTAGTCTGTACACCTCTAACCTTTCTGGAGCCTAAATCGAATCCAGCTAACATTGGGCTACAAGGTACATCAGTGACTCAGTGGGTTGTTAGGGTGGGAACGTATTTTCTTCGAGGTCTTAACACATCAAAAAATTTATTGCATAGTGGCAAGACAGAAAGCATTTCTAATTTTAAGATGAATTGACGCACAATCACGGTTTCCTGTCACTGAATATCGAAAGCAGATAGGCGTCTTCCAAGGATAGCCAGTAGTACGACGCTGGCGCTGCCTTCTCTATGGTAAAGACGGTGTAAGAAAGGGTTGACTCTAAAAGCACCAAACTCCCATTCGACCTGCAGTCTTTCCTTGCTGGTGGTATGTGGTTTCTAGATGGATTTAACTGAATCAAATTTAAAGGAAATCACAACGTGATACTTTAGTCCACCATCTGTGGAGAAGGCTTACAGAAGTCAGAATGTTGTTTATGTGCAGCGCATAATAATTATCATTATTTTGACTATATGAATGAAAAGCTTTTGTACCATGCGAGCACCAATACATCTATCACAGGTCAACTTTATTTCCAGTTATAATTTATACCTATACTCTGTCATTCCCACAGCAAATGTTGTATGTTTCAGAAAACTTACATATCAGTTTTGTAATTGTCAGAAAGATGTCAGTTGTTGCAGTCACTATATATCTACTAACCATATTTAGGACTAAGGACCAATCTCATTTATATATATTTAGACTTAGTTACAAAACGTAATGAGGAAGGATCCCTTAATTTTTCTGGACCTTAGCTATTAGCAATTTCAAACCATCTTTGTGTTAAAAACCATTTGTTATCATATTAAATCTCCCTTAGTGAATTCAACTTTGGAAACAAGTTCGATGTACCATTATTTTTGCTCTACTGATTTGTACTGTTATTTGGTCTTTAATTTAGCCTTCTTTCCTGACCTCTTTTCATATTCTCATCCCTCACCTATATAAATTTCCACAAAATTACCTACCATAAGTACGTGTGTGATTAGTTTGTTCGAAATGTGTTGTGCAAATAAATAACACTGATCAAATAATTTACATCTTTCTATTGTTTATCGAAATGCATAGATCAAAAAAGTTGTTTACCTGCGGAAATGATATAAATACAATGTACGACTGCATTATTGCCACCTAACGACGGTGGATAAGAATAAAGATAATTCGAATTGAAATGAAAAAACATGCCTCTCAAATAGTACCAATACACATCTTCATATAATTTCTAGAGCTTCAGATAAACTTCAGGACGATCAAGTCAACGAGACCATCTCCTACGTATGCGATTTGGTATAGAGGTAAAGTCTGAAAGTAGATTCGGTTACAGTGTTTTATTTTATAAACTAAAGAAAACATCCCTGTCAGAGTCTAAAGGTACGGTGTGAGTTAAATTAGAATAGCGTCAAAAAATTTATTGAAAAGTGGCAAATAAGATCATCTTGACTGGTGTATTCTGGTACTGGCTAAAAGTTTAAAGGTTTAAAAAAGGCTAGTCGTTCATATGAAGAACATTTAGGAAAGTGTCTGGAATAAAAATGATCCCCTACATTTCAATTTGATAACGGTTATTGTTTTGAGTAGTAATATCTTAAACTAAATGTACACGCCAAGAGTAAAAATACTATCCGAATACAGAAAATGTTGTATAGAATCATTTGCGGCTTTTTAACAATTACAGATGACAGCAATAAGGTTAAAAATCATCCGTTTGTGATAACCTGTAATTAAAAATTTCCAAGTATTCTTTTGAAGAGGCTATGACTTACATAGCAAAACGATCAGAAAAACCTTACTTAATTTTTTTTAAAGACGATGAGATCACATAAAAATATATTCTTATACTCAAAAATAATCTGGTTCGTTTCCATGACAGTAAGTAGCTGGACAAAAAATAAACATTTTAAGTCTTCTACCAAAGTTTTCGATCTTGAATTTTGCTCCAGAATATGCGCCTAGTTGTTATGTGCAGTATTATTATTTGATAATTTGGTGTTTCAGTAAAATCGTCACAATTAATTAGCCGAACATTTCCCTGACAAACGTTTATGCACGTATATATATGATGCATTCTTTCTTGATAAATCGTTCTTGAATTCTCAGGTCAGGCTTCAGCTTCTAGTGGAACCACGACACAGCAAAGTATAAAGTAATGAACAAGACAGTTGTATGTGTACACTTCAATCAGTTCTGTTTGTTCGGTATCGTTAAATAAGCTAATTCCACTCAGTTAACTCATTCTACACCATTAAATTCATGAAATGAAAATTTACATGTGTAGAATGAACCTGCTGAAAGAAATCACGTGGGCTTAAGACATGAATATTGATGTATTGTTTAGATCTTAAGACTTTTTACATTTTACAACATTAGCTAATTGAGTGAGATGATATTAAATCTCTAGGATTTGGAGGTTTTAGATACAACGTTCAAGTGAACACTGAACAAGTATAGTTTACATCATTGGTTGCAGTTAATTGATGATATGGATGATATGGATGGTGACACAGATATATTCAGTCTTTTAAATCTCTGACAGCTTGAACATTTTCATTGACCTTCACTTTTGAGAACTTCCCTCTCTTCCATACACTTTTGGCTACTTCAGTATAATTATTTTTCTCTCCACTTGTTTTGTAAATGGGTCAGTGAAGTGCGATGGCTGAAACTGATACACTTATATGCGCGGTTCTACGTTGGCTTGTTTTCTGGTCTGAAAGGGTGCACTATATCACTGTAAATCCTCTACTTGAACTCATGCAATGGTAAAACGGCTTATGGCGATTTTCTCATCGTGTTATTTCACCTTGATGTCGATTGTCACTATTTCTGTATAACATCATTGATAAACTTTTGTAAGTGTTTTCATTTATCTGTAACTAGTCAGCTATTGATCTTGTATTCTGACATGTTGTGGCCTGCTTAGGCGTGGATTAGTTTTAGAATCTGAGATCATTTCTGAACTTAAAACTATCTCTTAATAGGTAAATTCATTTTAAAACCTGCTTCATCACCGGTATTTAAAGCTGTGATATTCTTCTGCTACAATTTTATTTTTTAAAACTTCATAAATATTCTTTCTGACTATCCTAATATCTTTCTGCTTTCACTGGTGTCTTGTTTCTCTGTAGTTAAAAGAGTATCTGTATATATTTTTTCAGTTTTCAAATTCAGTAAGGGTATCATTAGAAAGCATTACAATTTCTGATTAGCATCAACAGGAATAATGCACTCAGTATAACATCACTTCACTGATTTAAAAGATTAGAAATATATATAACTTTATATCAGTAGCACTTATTTGCATCTGATTATTCTATTAACAGGATATACATTTTAAAGAAAATTAATGTTTCGAATAAATTCAGGCCTAAACACTCACAACTTTTGGTTTATAAATTATACTACCGACCCATTTGGTTCTAGGTGATACAAAAATGTGGTAAACATTACTCTCCGAATCAAATTCCAAATAACTATGAGAATGTGGATTTGCAATACTAATCATAGAGTGTTTTTCCAGTTGATCGCAGTTAGATAAATTAGACAGTTGGCTTCGTGTCGACACCTTGGTCTCATTCGTGTTGATTCTTTCATTCATATATTCATCTGCCGAAAATGAATTCACACAGTCTGAAATTTGGAATTCATCATAACTTTTTAAGTCAATCTCAATTAATACACGAGTGATGCCATGATTAATTATGCCAAGTGGAAGACTTTTCATTGAACCAACTCTGACACCTAAAAACAAATAAGTAAAAACTTTAATTAGAAAATAACCGAATGAATTTACTTTAGATGTTATGGCTGACAGATGATTTCGAAATATAATTGAAAACGCCTCCGACTGTAGATAAATGCCAGTTAAACTAGAGTTAAAAATGCAAAGGAATTGAATATATTTTCTGTGCTATGCATTTTTTCAGCATCATACTATATTCCCTAGATTTTCTGCTGAATATATCATCTTCTAAAAAGGCGAATCAGACCAAAGGAGAGGATTCTATGAATTATGATTAACTTGTGGTAGATTGGATTTTGAGGTCGGAAATCTTCATTTGAATGTTCACTAGTCTCTATATATCACCTACCTTTCACATGATATACACCTATGATAAAACACACACTACATTACTGCAGGAAAATGTTGTGTAAGCATAAAAAGGAGAAGCTAAACTAGAGAACTACCATGCAAAACCTTTCAACAAAACTGAACTGTGGTTGTAAACAGGATAAACCGTACAACTAATCATGCAGGATGTTTTATTAACTGAAGGATTTGTTGAGGAGATGATTATGAACTCCAAATATGTTAACAACAGAAGTGTTACAATAAAAATTTGCACATGCAATATCATAAGATTTACATAACAGGAAACATGCATTCACCATAAATGTAATTAACAAAAGTGAGCATTGTGAGTAGATGGTGTACAAAATTAAGTATAATTTGGAGTTTATTTTAAAAATCAACTTCTACGTGCTTGTAATTTTCTGCATTTTTCCACACAGAAACTAATAGTTAGCGTGAAAAATTGATGAATCAATTTCATCCGAGGGTCAGACAGTGCTAAACTGATGCCTAGAAATAAATTTGCAAGAATAATGATTAAAGTTTTCGAAACTGTGTTAACAACAAAGTTCACCTCCCTATTAGTAACACATCTCAGTGCAGTGGTTAAACTAATGCTGCTAACTAGGAACAATAAAAGTGTTTTAGTTAGCACTATATTGGTAATGTGGCATTCTGTAAACTGAATATGTGTCTATGAGTGTTTACTTCAAATTTTGAAAATTCAGCTGTTAATTGATTTCGCGTTCGAAATTTAAAACACTTCAACCTGTTAGACTAAACGGAAATAATTAGTTTTTATTCTCTAGGTACATCTTACGAAGATAATTTGGTAATAAGGTCAGAAATCATTGCGTTAGCCAGCAAGACAAATAGTCCAACTGATGCAATCGAATATAGTTGTGACCTTGAACCAGTACTAGGCAGTGAATGAACTGAGTGGGGTAAAACTGCTCATTCTGTTTCAGCGTTGCCTTGAATTCCATAAAACTGATCATCTTTCGTTTTTCTTGACTTTGAACCTACTACAGTCAGGTAATGACCGCCCCACCATGGAACTACCATTTTGTTACACGAGTGACGGAAATTTGAGACCTTTTTTAACTCCACGAACAACACCTATTGCTTCTTTATCAGTACATGTTGTTAAAATTCACTCTTGATATGGCTGGTGTCTTTACCGGTGCCTTCTCATTGGCGTTTAAAGAGTTCCATTTCTGTAAGGCAAAACACTGGTTACGCTTTATAAACTAACAATCTCACTCTCAGAATAAACGTTTAAGTATTTCATAAAAATCAGCTTCCTATATTGAATTTTAAAAGTCTAGATATTTTACTGAAACGAATATACATCATTGTTTCTTCTTCAGGTGTAGAAATTAGACTAACTTTATTATGCAATTAACTTCGCCTAGGTAACTAGTTTACTACTTACTAGCCGGTCCTAAGCTCGGGTAAAGAGGGAATGTTGTGCGTAGAGCTAGCAACCCTACACAAGAAAACAAATCCAATCAATAAAGAAACTTGAAAACACAAAGAAAATATTTGAAAAACCTATTCCTAGCTGGAATCAGCAAGACGAAATAACCCGGTTGGTGAAAGCCTTCAGAAAGCAAGTTGCTTGATGTGTCTCCTCTCAACGAGAGTGAAAGTAAGAATGGGGACATGGAATGTCTGCACTGTGTTTGAACCTAGCAAGGCTATCCAGATTGCAAACGAAATGAGGAGGTATCACATTGAAGTGATAGGAATCTGCGATAGCAGGTGGAATGGAAGTGGACTCTCCAAACTGTCAACTGGAGAGTCAATTCTACAGACAACTGCAATCAGTACTGGACAAGACCCCACCGCAAATGGTGACATTAAAAGTCTAATGTGTGACATGAATGCCAAACTGGGAGGGGACAACACAGGAAGAGAACCAATCATGGGTCGAGAAGTACTCGGTGAAATGATGAGTGGAATGGAGAACTGTTTGCCGAATTCTGCATTCAACGATTCCGTGATTGGAGGCGAGGCAGTGTGTACAAACACAAGGATATTCACAAGGCAGCGACATGGATTTCATTTCACCAGACACCAGGACATACTACACTAAAAATCATGACGACTTCATCTCAATGTGAAGAGAGTGAAGATGCAGGATATTGGACACAAGATGATGAAGGGGAGTGGATGTAGGTTCACATCACTCACTATCTAGTGCAAGGAACCTACCTTCCAAATCAAGTTGAAAGCCTTCAAACAAGCTGGTGATAGACCACATTTCAAGTTCAACACCCAGAAATTGAAGGACGAAACTTCAAAGAACATCTTCACGTCAGTCAGTCATGAGGAAAAAATGCGAGACATTGAGGAACATATCTGAAGGATGGGGCATGGAAGAACACTGGAACTCCTTGAAAGCTAAGTTAGAAGCAACTTGCATAACAAGTATTAGGAAGGAACAAAAACAGGACAAGAAATGTATCTCGACAGACACATTGAAGCTGATAGAGCAGGGAGAGGAAGATGGTGAAACAGAAGATGAACCAGTGTAAGGATTAACCGCAAAAAGAAGAACTGAGTACACTGTGAAAAGATAGGGCAGAGAAGTGAAGAAGAGTGTGCGCAAAGAAAAAGACTTCTACAACACATTGGCAAGTGAAGCAGAGCAGGCTGCTACTAGGAGAAACCCGACAACATTATATCAAATAACCAGATTCCATCTGGGAGGGAAGAGATCAACGCAGACAAAACCTATGAAAGATGGTGAAGGAAACTTAGTTACCAAAGAGAAGAAAAGAAGGAAACAATGGGCTGACCACTTCAAGAAACTCTTGAATCGACCACCACCACCACCACCAACACCACCTGCAACTTGACCAGAAATACCACATGCAGACACAGAATTACCAGTGAACACAAGTTCTCCGACAAAAGCTGAAAGGTAGTCCTGAATACCATAAAGTTGCTGAATCCGGCAAAGCAGCAGAACCAGATGGAATTTCGCCAGATGCATTGAAAACAGACACAGAGACAACAGCAGCGGACATGCTGATATCGCTACTGAAAAGGTTTGGAAGGAAGGGAAGGTAACCGCAGATTGGAAGAAGGACTACCTTGTCAAACTTCCAAAGAAGGGAGACCTAAGCTTTTGAAAGAGCTGGCAGGGAACCATGCTGCTGTCCCCACCCATCCAAGCAAAATATTAAGCCGAATCATCCTGGAGAGATTAAAAGACGCTTTGCATTTAAAACTACGACCGGAACAGGCTGAGTGGCAGGCTTAAGGATGAACAAGTCATGTGAGGATCAAATTGCAACGCTACGCTACTCTATGCATCGTCATAGAACAGATTATAGAATGACAGTCAACTCAACTTCATCGACTTTGAAAACGCCATCGACCCAGGCGTTGGCCGAATAGTTATTTGACAGGCAGCGTCTTCAACACTACGGTTTGAGTGCCACAAATCTTTATCAACCTAATTCAACAGCTATATGTGACATGATGCTACATGCCAAGTGATTCACAATGGGGAGCTGAGTGACGCCTCTGAAGTGAAGACAGGGGACAGAAATAAGAAGAGGCTATGGACTACTATCACCGATGATCTCCTGATTGTGGTCGACTGGATCATGCAGCAAAGTTGAGAAGCTATGGGAAGAGGGATATACGCTGGCTGGACCAATGAAAAGACCCCAGAAGAGGATTTTGGTTTCGTCGATGATGATTTACGTCTAGTATTGCACAAACTTGAAGACCTACAGGCAAAAGCCAACAAGTTGATGGAAGGGGCAGGGCAGCGAAGACGGGACTCCAAGTGAATGTAGAGAAGACGGAGGTGATGAAGATACCCAACCAACAACAGCATCAACAATAACAATATGCACCAATCACCATCAACAGGAGAAACCCAAAGAAAATAGTCTCTTTCACCCACCTACCTACCTACCTACCTACCTACCTAGGCAGCATCGTTTCATCTACAGGCGGTGGCACAGGCACAGATGAAGATGTCAAAATCAAAATTTGAAAGGTAGCAAGACAGGCTTTCATTAACCTTAAATCAGTGTGAAGATCTACTGCACTCCACTCAGTATAAAGAAAAATATCCGGATTTTCAACACCAATTCAGTCAATTCAGTGGTTCCATATGGTTGAGAGACTTGGCGTGTCACGAAAAGTATTTCCAGCAAACTGCAGACATACATCAACAGCTATCGCCTACGCTCACTCGATACTGAAGATCAGGCCAGATGGCCATGAAGAATAAGCAACAAGGAACTCTGGCTGGTGGGCAACGAACCAACTAAGAATATATCGCCCAACAAATATGCAGAGGAAAGTGGAGATGGATTGAGCATAAACTGAGAAGGTCGGTTGTGAACATCACGTGTGAGGCCAGGTCAGGCTGTGGAGTGGAACCCGCATGGAAATGATGAGTTGGGCGTCCGAGGCTAGTGTGACACTGAGGAGACGGTGTGAGGAAGAAATGAAAGCTTGTTGGCAGTCGTGGAGCCAGGTTGAAAAGACTGCAGAGAAGAGAGTGCAATGGAGATGTGCTACTGAAGCCTGATGTTCCACTAGGAACTCAAGGGACAAATAATAATATTATTCACTTATGAAGTAATATCAAAAAAATAAACTAATGAAATAAGATAATATTTTTTCATACCATCTAGTAATTAAGTTTTCGAAAACGTCCTCCTGTTAAATGGAAATTTAGAAATAAAACTGAAATATTGAAAAATTTATTCCGTATAACCCCCTTACATTTGTGAAAAGTAAAATTAATAATGCTTCTATTCAGCTTGATACTAGGGAAGAATGCAAAACAAATTTTATTTTTGGTCACTTGGAGAACCAGGAAATTTCGACATTATTGTGTGTAGAGTTTGTTTATGATTCTTCAAAAGTGTTCATTTGAAGGTTTTTCTTACTTAACAATTGCTAATAGATTTTCTTGAGTCTTCACTAACGCGTTTATAGAAAGCTGATTTCAGTCGATCGTTTTAAGATTAGTGTGCATTAGATGAACTTTATTCCATCAACTCAGAGAAGAAATCAGTTTGAAAAAATTAACTAACATTCTTTTATATCTAGGGTTCGGTACCCTTAGGCAGAAGCTCACTGTTTGAAAAATTATTCAGTAACATGGAAAAGCAAATAAATCATCATTATCAGGCTAAGACAACCCTCACTAGCAAATGGTTCTTAACCAACTTAGAAAGTTGAAAGACTGCTCTGGTCATCTTTCACCTAGAAATAAGTCTATAGGTCAAAGCTATCCAACATGGTTTGACTGAAAACCACGTATTCTGCCATTCATCCAAGTTAACTTTGATGTAGATTTAAACGAGAAAACATGCATGATTAGTTAATGTGATGCACAATGAAAAGCTGTATATCTCATAACAACTATGTACAACACTTAGTGACTTGGATGAAATCAGTATCCAGTCTCCAGTTAGGTTGCGCAATTCACCCAGTATGGTCCTATTCAACACCAAAGAGAACATCGGCTCTCATTCTATCACACCTTTGGTTGTCTGTCAAACTTGATCGCTATCAATAAATAACCAGCAATAAAATTTTGAGGAAATATAAGTTTCAGATATGAATAGGAAGTAAATTTTCTTAGATTCTAAGTTGTGTTTGCACCTACGTCTGTTGTTTGAATTCCAGTTTAAAACTGAGCGGAATGAGTTAGTTTTGAAAATATAAGACTGGTTATATTCAAAAACAAAACCTGTGAAAAATTCTGTCGATAAGAACTAGTTATATTGTTAACTTTTTTCTAGCGTCAACAACGGTAGGGTGCGAAGAACTGTAATTTCCTCATACATCATAAAACATCCATATCTTCACAGGAGTTAGCCGCAGCTGACTGCATATGAACTAGAATGGTGAAAAATGTACTGGACTTTAGACCACTAAGTTACATATGAACACATAAGTAAATCACTTAGGAGGTAATATTAATTTGGTTGAGGAAATTGAAAAGATACTCAAACATGGATTTTGAATTGATAATCTAAGATATTTTAGTAGAATAAATTTGTCTGTTAAATTCGTGCCAAGTTACACATTGGAAGTTACATCATATTGCCAGGAATTCAATCAGATTCTATATTAGATTTGTTTATTTGATTTATAACACACAGTGATCTAGTATTATAATACCATATCACTATGTGTTATAAATCAGATAAATAAATCTAATATCGAAATAAATTCTATCACAGTGCCCAAGTTTTACACCTATATCAATAAGATTCAAACAGATAACTACAGCGTAATTCCTTTCAAGCAATAGGTTTCGTCCAGTTGAGCAACCTTCATTCTTAAATATAATTAGACTTTTTAAACAATTTCGATGTTGATCAATACGTGTTTCCAAATTTGAGTCTAAACAGACTGTGCCTTCAAGATAGTTAGAAGAGTGTAGTGAAAGAATAAATTTTGGTCTTACTGTGGAGTATTTATGAGAAGGCAACTGTCACGGATATGGAAAATTGAAAACACACATTCAATTGAAATACTGAATGAAAGCGAAATGTTTCTAGTTGAACTGATTTTCAAAATAAGTGAGTTGTACTTGAAAAAAGTTAGGCTACCACTTTAGAATTCATTATCAGAATTATGCATTATTGTTTTGGTTATTTTCTGGATAAATATAATTTATTTATGTGATTCCAAATTATGTATCTCTATTTCTATAACACCAACCAATTTAGTTCATGCTGAGTAAATACTGTTTGTTTTAGATGAAAATATACCTTGATCTAACTCAGTGTGCAATAAATTATGTTTAGTACATATTGTTGGCTGTTTGTTATAACTGAGTCTCATTTTATTTCATTCATACTACTGTTCTGTAAATATACCTTTTAATGGCGTGCGAATCTTTGCTGAAAGTCCTTCACGTATTTTTATATATTATTTATATTTATACATAAGTAAGGTGGCTAAATTTACCCAACCACATTAAGTCCATATTGTTAAATGTGCTATAAAATTAGAGGGATATATTTTTCAGTATACTGTAACAGCCTTTCCCTTATTGATGTTGATATGTTTAGGACATTACTAAAATTCTCTGCAACTTAAGTGTTTGCCCACTATTTTTTTTATCCCCAAGGTGCACCTGCCGTCACTTTGAGATTTTCCTTTCGAGATAAAACACGAATTACTCAGTGATGTAGTGGGAAATCCAAACAACTAGTTATTTAGGTAGTAACCTAACTTTACAGGGTTACATTATGCTGACAAAACAATGTCGGCATTGTATTTTATTTCTCACTGTTGATTCAAGTGTGCTCACTGAGGCATGAATTGCATCCATGGAGCCATATATATTTAAAAACCCAGGTAAAGTTTTTCATTTTGAATACTTATGACTAATCGATTCATTTATCATTAAGTTTCAGTAATGGTTTTTGACTGTGCTCTAAATAGTAACGTCATGAGGAACAGTGTCATAACAAAAATACCTTCGTTGAAAAACACCTAAATTCAGTACTGTGAAATGCTGGTTTGAACTTCTGAGGGAATATGGGCTACCACAAGTTTGCGACTAACCTTTGGCGTCGAATGCTAACAGACAGGAAATCTAGGTCAATCAGATTTTCTCTCTAATTGGTAATTTACACCACAATCCCTGCTTTCCTTAAGATAATCATAATCTTCATAGCTATTCTCAGTGAAAGTTAATGTTAATGATGATAATAACTGTAAAATATACTTACCACCAAATTCATACAGATTCGAAATTAATTCAATTTCCGGTTTGAGTACTGTTCCGCATACGGACAAGTCAATATTCTGACCGTCATAAGTGCTCAGTACCATAGAAGATTCGAATTTTCCCAAACCGATAGGCACACAGGTGACCTTAGTTATAACAAAAAGTGAAGTGAGTTATAACAGTGAATAGTTTCATCGTAATAAAACAGTAAAATGAATATTGGTAAAAGGTTTTCATTAAACTACGTTCTTAAGCGTTTGCTCTTATTCAATGCTTCATACAATGAAAGTAAATGAATCATTTGGTTCAGTACTGCTTCAAATTGTAGAACATCTCGAAAATTGAACAAGATAGGTAATAAACGGAATGAATTAAAGAAACAAGAGGCAAAAAGAGGCAGTGTAACGATAAAAACTTGTTACTTAAATTACGTCTCAAAATATTCTGTCAGTTGCTTGAGTTACTGGATGTGAAAACCTGCCAATTGTTCATCTTTTAGCGTTATAATAATAACTAAAGTTTTTCGCTTTAAAACAGACCTAATTGATAAGTTGGAACAGTCATTTATTGTCACTGATCTCTAGTTTCTCAACATCAACAGATTTTCTCCGTTTACCAGTGAGTGTTACCAATATTCAGAACTACAAGTCTTTCATAATTAGTTTATTTACAAAATTTTTCTCTCTTGAAAGTATTTCAGACTGAACGCTCAAAAGTTAAATAGCTTTATTAACCACGTAGTTGTTGAAATTTTTCTATATGTGAGAAATCATAGAAACAGTTAAACTTCCATCAGATCATTGCTTGGCTGTAAATAATGTTGCTGTTTTATTTCTCCTTGCACGACATATTATATGGAGTAACCAAACTCATACTCAACAGAACAACTTACAACCTGTCCGGAAACGAAACTTTTTCTCAATTATTCACGGATAGACTTTGTTTTACTGTGGCAGCATCAGTGTTTCCATAGAAATTCGAATAGTTAAAATCCTGTATATTGATTTTCATGATACCGAAGTGTGGTCACTCTTAGGCTTAGTTATTTTAATTACAGAAGAATCGATTTTTTGGAAGACAAAACTCATACTATCCTCTGTTACTTTGGTATTTGAATTTCTGATGTGTAAATTGCCATGAGGTCGTTCCATTTCAAATGTTATTTTGAAAGTATCATGAGAAAAATTGGTTGACAAAATGCATCCTTACATTCTTGTTACGTTTTTAAAGAGCATCATGATAGTTATACACGTCTGCCAACGATGAAGTTTATTCCACGCAAACGAAAGTTATACTTATCACAAAGAAACGCAGTTTCTGTAGTAAATTAAGATATTTTGAGTACAAATTGCATCAGCTCAAAACCAAGAATGGTGCAGTTGGTGTTTATCTACTCATGCCATTCAGTAGTATATATCGTTCAAACAACAAAAGCCTGTATAGAACCCATCTGAAACATATGCAGCATTACACTCTGATATTGCCTTTTGTATTTTGAATTCGAACATCGGCTACCAAAAATGAAGTATTTTGTGCCACTGATCACTATGTTGTTGGAAGACAATGGATGAACGATCCCAGTGACATCTGATAAGAAGCCGAGTTTAGAAATCCCCACTTATCATGTAGAACTTATCTCAAAGAATATAGTGACGTTAAAGTAAAGAGTACTTCAGTAAAAGGAATCCTTTAAAACACTTGCTTTTAAACTGGTTTAGCTGAAGATAAAATCCAAAGAAGCTATTTTGCTGGAAACCTTAAGATTCTAAAACAAATGATGACATTATGCAAATGTTTCAATACTCCGTCCTATCATTTAATAACTCATCCTATGCAACGATTTTCCAGAAAAACCAACTTTTTCATTTTCAGTCACTTTTACCTTTAACCATCCACTTGAATTCAATGCAACTTTAGCCATCTTGAAAATGGTAACGGTATCTTGAGAAAGTTTCTAATTAAATAACAAATAACATATAGAAGAGTAACCTAAGACTATTTAGCAATTGTGTAATTTTGTGTCTTACGAATCATTGTTTCTGAATAAACCAAAGGGAAATTTTAAAAGCTTAATTGCGTGAGTTAATCACGCAATAGCAGGTGAACCATTTCACAGAGTGCAGTTCAGCAGCATAGATTTATCATGGCATTCCTTGGCATCCAGATGTCGATTTTAGCTAAATACTAGGAAATAGTTTCAGAAACATAGTTTAGGGCAGTGAAAAAATCAATACAGAACCCCGCACACAAGTGGATCGGTTTTAGTTGGCACACTGCATAGTAGCATTCAAATAACAGGTGGATAAAAAAAATGATATCAGAGTAGACAAGATTGTGTGACAGAATAAAAAATTTGAAGATAAAGGTTAATGAGAATATTTGAGCTTCAGAAGATGTCAGAGAGTGAGTGCATCTGCGGTACTGTAACCGATTTTAAGTTATGTCACTAAGAACCCTAAACCACTGATTCTTATCGCTTCGGCTACTCCAGCCAGGCAGTCTACATTTCTCCGTATGACTCAGATCAGTAGCCAGAAACTCCATGCTCTTCCGCCATGTTTTGGTTTGGCTACCCTGTACAGTCTTCAAACCTAATCCAACTTCCTCTGGCAAGGCACGTCAAAGAAGGCGGTTACTTGGCGTGGGAGGTACATGTCCAGGCCAACTCAGCAGACAAAGTTTCACAACCCCATCAGCTGACTTGCATTTCTTGCCTAATATGTTTTGCCATCATCATTCGATCATTTATTTCACAATCATTTTTAAAACTGATTTTGCTTTCTGTTTTTGTTATACTACTATAACGTACTACTTTACCAAATAATCACTGAATGTGAGAATTTTAGGTGACGATAATTTTCTTGAAAAATGCAACAATAACTACGAAATATAACATATTACCTTCAGAGTTATCTCACCGCTAACAGGTATTTCACCTTCACTTGGGTCAACTTGCATGTCAACTTTAGCTGGTAGAGCTCCTGATAACCGGTGCATATACGATGTAATGTCGCCGTTAATATTAACATTTTTGGACTCTTTATTGATGTTGAAGAGGACAGAGTTTTGTCCTAAATTGAATATAGTTATTTGACGCGTACAAGGCAAACCATGTGCTAATGATCCAAGTGGTAGACGGCGTGTTGAAAATGATAATTTACTCGGTAACAGTTTTGCTCTACATAATAACTCAATATCTTTATGGTGTCCAGATAAATCATTTATTGCTGAAGGCGATGTCCCAGCATGCTTTTCATCTACTCTGAGTAACTGCAGTTGAAATCTACCTTCCATTGAAGTATTATTTAGATGTAGGTAAAAACTACCTCACAATTCAAAGACGAAAACGGTTCTACAATGCCTGTGAAACAAAGAAGGACTCAGGTTATACAGGTAAATCATTATTTAAGATCAAAGCTGCAGATACTAGTAGCAAACTAACAACCTACTGAGAGGGATCTTCCGTTTCCACAGGTAACAGATCTAGATAGAACTAAAGGATTAGAATGTTGTTTTTTTCCCAATATTCTTCAGTTTTACCATACTTTGCGTTGAGTTATATTTCGCTCATTCAAATATTAGTTCCTTGTGAATAATTTTCATTTTTTCGTATTTAATGAAAAGTTTAAAGCAATAGTATACTAGCTATGTGGTCATCACTGCTGTGAATCTTCAACTTTGATCGTTATCCAATAAACAGTAAGATGAACTAATCAGAAACATTGCTTCGAAAACCTAAATCCCATGGATTCAACCAAAACCATATTACTTTTAAAGTAGTGTGCAAGAATTGAGTGATTACTAATTCAGAACATACAGTAGCCATTTCTCAGTACTATGAGATGTTTCTTCTTTCACTTTAATGCTTGATTTTTAAGTTATAACAGCTAACTCAGGACTGTGTTTTTCCCTTTAATATCAGAACTTAACTGTTGGGTACATGATTCCATGCTCTTGAATATCTTTCCCAAAAGAAACATGTTAAGTTGCTGATGTATCTTCCTGTATGATTCACACTTATCAGCTGACTTTAAAACCACTTCATAGCCTCTCAAACGCCGATGGCTTGATTTTATTTAGAACCCATCTTATCTTTCTTATATATGGTAGAATTCAATCCTGAAAGCTATTCTTTCACACAAGTTCAGTGTCGAAAATCCGAACTTTTATTGTTGCACTTCACACGCGGAATCCTGTTGACGTCAGCGATCTCAAAATGCATCACCGGTGTTTTATTTTATAAATAATTTTCATGTCTTTTATGCATTACTTTTTATAACTAATGTCAAGTCAATTTCCCGCAAAGCCAATTTTTCAGGTATATGTAAGTGTTGTCATTAAATAAGAATACACCAGTAACTGGGAAGAAGTTTTTCCTACCTGTTTTTGGACATATTGTAAATGGATTTTGAACGCCAGATGATTGCCAAAGAAATCTTGCTGGTGCATGCAACGGATTGATTAATGTAACATATCCACGCATTCCACTTACTTTAATTAGACCATAAGATAGATTAGCTGATGTAAGTTCAATTGTAGATGAGCTGAGAGTCAACTGAACTGGCACGACTGTTGCACACACAACTAAATTGCTTTTATGTCGATCATTGACTGAGAAATCCAAATTACTAAAGTAAGTTCAAGATAAGGATGATGGTCCAATCAACGACAGGATAATACAAGCAACATCGTAATAACTTCAAGATAGTTAAAGTTAAAAAATATTCGGTTAACCTCACGGAATATCATTTTTATTCTGAAGTGAAAAAAAGAAAGTTCTAAAGTTTACCTGGCCCACTCCACTGTAGAGCAACTCAAAGTTATACAGTCATGTTATTCCTTACTTAAAATATAGATTACTCACCGTTAGCTGTATATATAAGTAAAAAAATGTAGGACTACACGTTTACAAAGTGAGAAGACTTTAAAATTTGTTGCCATCGTTCCGTGAGTTTATTGACAACACTAACCCCTCTGACACTGAAATACTTGTGCATTATGTGCAGAAAACATAATTACAAACTACGATAGTGAAATTATTTTTCATATTTACCTAGGTCCTGAGAAAACACCTCCTCAATCAGAAAGGATCGTGACTCATAGTGAATTTGCATTCTGAAGTCACTGCATTTTATTTTCGTGAGAATCAAATGGAACAAATGTAAATAAGATTCCTTGTTTACCTTCCAAGAAATTATTCAAACAAGCTGGAACCCATTGCTTGTAACAGACCGGTGTTAAATTACCTTAAGACAACTTCATCAATTCTGCTTTATTTGAGAGAGCAAAAGCAAAATCCCTGAGGGTATAAAAAAACTTTTCTATCAAAAATAGTCATAACTTTCATGGGTGACAAACTCCATAGGTAACTATATTTGGTCCACTAAACGTAAAATATATATATATAGTACTTGTTTATGCTGACCATTCTAGTGAAAAATATAGTCACTGAAACATTTTTAAAAATTTAAGTTGTGGTGAATATTTGTAGCTCAGGATATGGATGTTCACAGTGATTTTTTCGCTGGACTACAGTTTTAGTTGGTAAGCGTTTCAATATCGTACTAAAAGACTTCATCATAGTTTTACGACGAAGTCCCTGCAAACTCTGAAGCACTGGCCAAGGCGTTCAGCACACTAATAAAAAGTTTGTCAGTTAGAACCCTCGCTCAGGGAACAACTCACTCTGAGTGGACACTTAAGTTAGTAAGCAACTAGATAATCTGAAGTCTTCAGTAATAAAACCTGATAGAAATAAAAAATTCATTTCAGGCTGATTCTGAATAGGTGCGTTATTCCGAAGCGGACAAATGACATGAGTAATAATTACGTCATACGGTATGACTAGGTCATTTGTTGCAGTAATAGTGAAGACTTTGTGTTTACTACATCTCCAGCGGAATTTCGGATAGATCAGCAGCTCGAGTACTACTATTGTCTTTTATATCTTTTACTAAGATTTTCGGATATTAATGGGCTCTGTGCCTTCAAGAGTTGAATGATAGATATGGACAGCATCTAGGATAACTGCAATTCATAAGAACCTACGAAACGGGCTTAAGCAGTGAACATATACACACGAAACTTTTCATCTATGTTAGTGTAAACAGTATTTTTCGCAAAATTTACTAAGAGATAGTGTTGAGAAGTCAAGGAATGTTTTAGAAGTCTAATTTTTAGTAAGATTGGCTAATCTTTCTGCGAAAACACCAAGCCATAAAGGTTCTCGTCTTAAACTGCAAATCCTTTTCATTACTTCAAAAAAATGCATGTACTTTAGGGAACGAAGAGCATTATTTAACACCTTTTTACAAAACAGTTAGTAGTTAACTGACAGGATGTTAGTTTGTCGACTGCAAACAGTCATCTCTATGGTACACTGTCAGAAAAAGGAAATGAGTTTACCGTTGTATAATATGAGTATTTTTGAAGCCTGTCAAGCTCCTACAGTTTCTACAGACTTAGTAAGATTCATCCAAAAATTAGACAATTAATTCATTTTGTTGATATTCCACGTTGACTGGATTACTGTCCAAAGCTATATCACTGCACAAATATATACCAAATAATATCATTTGTTGTTTTCTGACATTATTAGTATAATGTGAATAAGGGATCTTAATTTGTCATGCATGAAACAGATTACTTTAAATGAATAAAATGTTTTAAAGGACTGAAAGATTACCAATTATTGATGGATAAGTACTGAAATCTGTCGTGGTAACAAACTGTTAAATCATAAACGTAGACCTGGATAACTTCACTGACTTACCACTGAAAATTGCATAATTTTGAAATTTTTACTCTTATTGGTATATCAAGTGATGATTTCGGTTGAACTATGTATTCCCTTATATCGGTTGGTTTGAATTCATCTAAATCGGTGTCCAGCTTAAATGAAATGCACTGTTTCAATGGATTAGTAATTGTAATAAATTGCGTAGATTCCGTATTAGGGCAAATATTTTGAAACTCGACCTTTGTTGGATCTGAGAATTAACAGAATTGCAAACAACAAAAGGCAATTATACATGCATGAAAAGTCTTAATATAACATATTTAATTTGATTTTCTATTGAAGGCATTCCTTTTAGAAGCACACACTTGTAACTGTTTATGATTATTACTATTTATCCCTTGGGTTCCTAATGGAACATAGGGCTTCAGTAGCACGTCTCCATTGCACTCTCTTCTCTGAAGTCTTTTCAACATGGCACCACGACTGCCCGCAAGCTCTCATTTCTTTCTCACACGATCTCCTCCATGTCACCCTTAGCTAGGACGCCCAACTCGTCACTTCCCATCTGGGTTCCACTTGATGGCCTGGTCTTCTCAGTGCATTCCAATCCAACTCCACTTCCTTCCAGTGCATATTTGTTGAATGATAGGTTCTTAGTTGGTTCCTTACCAGCCAGAGTTCCTTGTTGCTTATTCCTGTTATTATGGCCATCTGAGCTTCAGTAACGAGCCAGCCTGGGCAGTTGTTGATGAATGTCTGTAGTTTGTTGGAAATCCCTTTCGTAACACGCCAAGTCTCTCAACCATCACATAGAAGCACTGACTTGACGTTGGTGTTGAAAACTCGGATCCTTTTCATGCTTTATGCTGAGTGGAGTGCAGTAGATCTCCACACTGGTTTCAGGTTAATGAAGACCAGTCTCGCTTTTCCAATCCTGGATTTCACGTTCTCATCTGTGCCGCCTGTAGTTGAAACGTTGCTGCCTAGGTAGGTGAAAGAGGCTACTTCCTTTAAGTTTCTCCGGTTGATGGTGATTGGATCTTGTTGTTGTTGATGGTGTTGTTGGTTTGGTATCTTCCTCACCTCTGTCTTCTCTACGTTCACTTGGAGTCCCGTCTTCCTTCTCTGCCTTTTTTGTTAACTTGTTAGGTTTGCTTGTAGATCCCCAAGTTTGTGTGACATTCGACATGTCATCTCCGGTGAAATCCAAACCTTCTAGGGTCTTTTCCCCGGTCCAGCGTATCTCCCTCTTCTCGCTCTTCACATGTTGTTGCATGCTCGAGATGATACGCATAAACTGGTATTTATATAGTGAAAATTTAATTGTTCCACATAATGAATGTTAGTCTGTCATGCTGTGCTATAAACAAAAGCCTAATTGTAATAAATTTTACCAATGCTTATCAGTTACAATCCTTTTTAAAAGTTGTTGCACTGAGAAAAATAAGAACCACCATGAAATCTGTTTTAATGGTAACTGCAGTGTATGTTGATGTATTTTACTGTTCCAATGTCTAGACTTACTACCCAAAAGACCAGTATTCGTATAACTTACCTTATGTGGTGACTTGAATATTTTGACGCACTTGGGTTAGTATGTAATATGTAATATAATATAATATCAGTTCTAAGTGAATGAAGTCAAAAAACCGAACTATTGTTCTAAAATATTCCTAACAGCATATAGACTTACAAACTAAAAGAGAACGAGGATAATGGGTAAGGAAGAGTTGTGACAGTCAAAGGCCACTTTGGTAACTACTGAAATAATCAATCAGGCTCTCTCATTTTGCGAAAGACTACTTCTTTGTGTGATATAAACGAAGCTGACTGGTTATTTCAGTAGTTGTTTAAGTAGCTTTTAAAGTCATTCCCTTTAACTACGCTGAACTGTTGAAGCCATATACTGAATGATGATGTTATATAGGAAAAAATATAGTTTAACACTAATCAACAATCGAAAATGGGGACCACTTGAAGCCTGTTGCACCTGGGTATAAGCCTGAAAACTGTTCGAAACTTGATTAGTGGTGAGCACTAAGAAAAGTTTCTAACGATTCGGTTTCGCTAAGGAGAGTAACAACTTCCAAATAATCAGTTACCTGAAAGTAGATTTAAGCAGTAATTTAGAGAAATGGAACAAAACCTGAAAGAACACAGTTACATTATTTGATGGTTTCCTGTTCATCCTTGATCGGTGAGTAATATTCAAGAGTAATGAATTCCTTTCTGAAATTAAGCTCATTTTAGTTCGTTTTCGTGATTAAAGGCTTTGAGTTCAACCTTTTAACAGTGTTAAAAATCATATGTTGTATCGGCCGAAGAAAAAAAACATGAATCTCAGATAAGTATAATTAGTTGAACTATTTTACCTTAAAAAGCACCTCAACTAATAATTATTTTATGGTGTTATTATGCCGCTCAAGAGACTTTTATTGACTCCTTATACAACAATCTGGAATCTTAATTACGGAAAAATTGCATGTTTAATGAATATAAGTGAAAAACTTGGGCACTGTGGTAGAATGTAATTCCATACTAGATTTATTTATTTGATATAAAGCGTACAGTGATACAGTATCATTTACTTGATTACGTTTCGAGCATAAATTATTGCTCATAATCATATCAATGTAATCACTATAAAACCAGATATCGAAAGAAGTGTGATTACATTGTTATGATTATGAGCAATAATTTATGCTCGAAACGTAATCAAGTAAATGATACTGTATCACTGTACGCTTTATATCAAATAAACAAATCTAATATGGAATTACATGTTTAATGAAGTTAATTGTTGTTATTTATCTAACCTGTTGTGTGAAGACAGTTCTTGCATTTTCTGAACTATAGTACGTTGTGGACATACATTTCAGTTGTTTATACTCATGACTTGGTTATCATATATACAAGGAAAGTAGACATCACTCTTTTCTGATAGAGCATGAATGTTGGGTGGATGGGACAAGTCAAGTGACTAATCGCATGAGTGAAATCCTGTATACCAGACAGGGTAATTATGAGTGGAATTAATCACGTGAAAAGTCAGCGTTACAGGTGAAGTAGAAAATCAGACCAATCAGAAAATTAAAACTCAGCAGTTAAATTGGTGACGGTGATTTCGGTTGATTTCATTGTGAACAGAAGATTAAAGTTAGAAGAATTTCATCCAGTATTATGAAGAACTAAAATATGCCAATTTAAGCTGAAGACGTGGTGTTTTCAAGCAAGATTAGAATAATCTGTACAGTTCCAGTTATGATTCTTCATCATTATTAAAGAGAAAATGTTGCAGCAGTTCAACCTTGAATAAAAGGGATATATTATTGGAGCGGTCACAAGTGCGGCTCGTAAGCCTCAAGCTTAAGTCATTATTCTCATTAGTCGATTCTCTGCTGAACCCCCCCCATATTCATACCTTAAATACAGATGAACTATCATTTTTGAAGATAAAGCTGAATCCAAGTTCTAATTTACCGCCTACAGTTCTCGTGCCTTCAGTTTGTGAGACTGTATTGTGAGTCACAGGCTAGAAGGTCACATGTGTCGTTAGAATCTCCAAATGCAGAACATAAGTTACAATTTGCGAGTCTTGGTCTTAGCCGGCAAGCCAAGGAGTAAAAGAAAATGCAGAAACAGAAAGTGATCACTAATCTTTGACTTACATTGTAAAGAGAAAAGGAAAAAGCTGTTAGGCAGAGCTTCGCAAATATTTCATTTTGCTTTCAGTTCGGTTGCTGAGTTATGGGGCGGAGAAAGCTTAGCAAATGAAAAGATATCCAGATAGCGAGGCGTGCAGAAAGTCAGTCACGTTACAATGTTAAGGTTGGATGCTTAGCAGTCATCAGTTCAAGCATGTGACACAACCTATATCACTTTGACTAAAGTTGTGACACCACCTTTAAATCAGCAGTATTCTACTACTAACTATTTGGTAAAAACCTGTCACGGGTTATTTCGATTGACAAAATGGATCCAAGAATTGAGGTAAAAATCCTATTGAATTTTTGTAAGTTTGATTCTCAGCCTATTTCTTCTTTTTATTAGTCATCGATACCAAAATAACCTGGTTTAGATAGATTTTGTTCACTTACTGTGCACTCCGTCTATCCCATTATTCTAGATATATTTTCATTGCGAGTGAGTGAACTGTTTGCTTCAGACTTACACAATCTCAACCATAAGCTTTTATGGAGACTTTTCCTCATAAGCTGAGCGAAATGCTGTCAAATCTCAAGGATTTTCTTGTGGCCTTTTATTCCAGAATAGAAGTATTGTTAACTATTGCTGGTCGCATAGTCACACATGTCTAACGGTATATGTACTGTATCTAAGTCACCCCACCAAATTTATAATTCATAAAACGCTGTGGCTATGGTTTGATGCTACCTAAACTTTCCCATGAAAGTCCCATCACTAGGTTAGGGATATTATCGCCACTAACTTTATAAACAAATGAAGTACATTCATATGTTACCCTAATGTTTTGTCATACCTTGACCTCTTTAAACTTGCGTTTCGCTAGGTCACATTTTAAGAGAATCTTTTTTAGAGGGAAATTGCTCTACTTGTCACCGTCAAACTTTGCTTCATTATTGATTTATAATTGCTCGATGGATGACTATTTTCCATTTAAATAGGTTGTAAATTGGGTCTGTATCCATTTTTCTGTTGATTGAATTTCTGTTAGAATACCAGGATTATAGAAATTCTCTTACAGCTTTTGACCTACTCTCTGAAGGATTTCCACATTGTCTCAGTCGAATTAGTGATCATGATTTTCTCCGTGTACTGAAACCAAGGACGCTGAGTCATACCACTTTGCTGCTAGTCATTGTTCACGAGTTCTTTCTTAGATCCGATGGTCAGACTGACCAAGACAGTGTTGTAGACAGTCTTAGCAGTTGATTTTGTGAATTATATTTAACCTATCTTACTTTGGTCATGGACGTTTTGACTTATGCAAATGCTGTGCGTTGAAATTTAGTTATTTTTTGCCAATTCAATCACAAACAGATGGCTTTATCAGTAACCAGTCTCTGACACATCTTAGGTGTAGGATTGATTAACGCGCTGTTACTTCAGGTGATTGTACTTTACTGAGTCCTGCAGACTCACACTTTCCGATATAGCTCGCATAACATTTGAATATGTTCCACTTCTTCGTGAAGGTATTAATGATTGTTTCGACAAGCCTTTCGGAAAAACCTTTATGACAAAATAAGATAGCTCAGAAGACTTCAGACCATCATCATCCTCACCTCGAGCTACAAGTATTCTCCATCGTTTCATAAAACGAAAATTTTATAAACCGACAGGGAATGGTGCAATCCAACTCTTTTGGAAACGCTTTCATGTGCTTCAGTACAGTACAGGCTTCTGCTTTCTGTCTTTTAGAAGAACAGTGACAACTAACTTGTACATATTCTGTGTTGTCAGAATAGTTTATCAAAGAGTAGTTTCTGATATTTGAAAGTATTCATACAGGTATTTCTATATAATTAAGTGTATCTTTCATTCACCTAGAGTATCCAAAAACTGAATTCTGAATCGCATTTGTCCTTACCGAACTCAATATAACCGGCTATGAGTTTGACAAAAAAATAAGCAAGTAAAGGTGTAGTTTTGCAATAAAGTGTGCTGGTTCAGTTTGTAGCACTCACCAAGCAGTAGGAAAGACTAAGTGTAGACATAAAGGAGCAATGCATTCATCGAATTCACTTGAGATTAAAGATAAAGCATATTTAAGGTCTCTAGAGTGCTAGAATAAATTTTTATTATGCTCATATTTCTAAGACACTTATGTCGCACAACTTACATATGGATATTTCGTCAATGTCTTTAACTGATAACGTTTTGTTGCATTCTTCATTGACTTTACTTTTAGTAACCATTTTAAGTGGCAAGACCTTTTCAGCCTTTTTCAAAGAAAAGAAAATTGTACTTTAATTTTAAAGGAATGACTTAAAGTTTAAATATTAAAATTAATGAAATTTATACAAACTGGTTTTTCCTACGTTAATCCTTTCAAACCAGCAAAAATATTCATGAGAATAGCTTCATCCGGACATTATATATCAGAAATAAATCACAATAAAAAATCTGCCATTATTCAAGTACTAATCGAGTAAATTATGTTTTGTGTTCATTTTTTAAATAACTAGGCGAGTAGATGGATTGGAGTTGATAACACTCCTTTGTTTAATTTAATGTGGTATCAATATACGAATCCGCAATAGAAAAAAACAAAATGTCTAAAATTTATATTTTGAGCTGTTTGACAATTGATGTTTGATTGTTATTACTTCAGAATGGCAATTACTGGTCTACCTAACCTTCAATTCGCGTCCCCTACCAGCTTGATGGGCTGAAAAACTATTATAAGTACTTAGTTATTAGCTGTTAGAATATACATGCTGTTTTGTTTTCGCAGTTTTCTTGTATGTATCTACAAAACGATTTAAATGGTCAGAAGGAACTTCTAATATTCATTTCAGTTTGTCATTACTAATGGTACTGATAACTATCTATTTTTCATTTGCTCCCGCCAAATATCCCGAGCTTTGTGATTATAACCTCATGATTACACCTATTTTCAGTTGTAAAGATTTAGTGAAATGCTTTTCATTGACAGTTTCCATGGCTTAGACAGAAATTTTTTCCAATATATGCTTGAGGCACTTCATAAAATAAAGTTCACGACCTTTTATTCGTGGAACACGTAGTGTAAAATTTATAGTATTTCAGTCAGTACACCAGGCTATTCATCACCTAAAGACGGGTAACAATATATTACAAACATAGAGTACTATGCTAATGTAAACTGGTATTATATATTGTCAATACTGTCAATTATATATTGGATATCATCAGAAGTACTACCAGAACCTAGGGCCCAGTACTCACAATTCAATGAAAAATGTTAAAAATTGAAGACATAATAAAACCACACTGACTACGATTCAATCCGATTCTTTTTCACCAAGTAAATTTAAACCGTTGGAAATAGCTAGTGAATTTATCTTCTGCAGATCTCCACAACTTAAGACCTAATGGAAAATTCCCTGACTAGAACTATGTAAATTCTTGTTCAATATTTCCCGGATATGCACAGTCTAGTTTAATTGCTACAAGATACTTTCCATTAGCATTTATGTGCGTATTCAAGAATGTAACCGAAGATAAAGACCCAATTTCTTATTTGTTAATATTGTTCATGAGTTTTACTTTACTATCGTTTACCTGTTGACTAGAACAGATAATGGACTCTGACCTTCTTTGAATCTTTCACGCTGATACATTTATATCGTCAGTCTTTTTTTAAAGTATTCGTCTTACATCTTTTTGTTAAAAGTAAATACTGTCTTACACAGGCGCATGTTTCCAGAAATAACAGATAACAGAAAACGATTTTTTAGAAATACCTTTTTCTTCATGCTCTTTCTTGCGCTTCTTGTGCTTTTCGTCTGGTTTATTGACTTGATTTTATCTACTTTGTGAATCATTTGATAAAAAGATAAACAACTTTTGAAAAAGACGAAGGGGCGATGGCTATCTTTAATATATATATATATATATATATATATATATATATATATATATATATATATATATATATATATATATATATATAAACTATTCAGGATATCACATACTTCTTTACTTTTAGATATGTCTTAACTTTTTAGCCATTTTTGTAATCTCACGTAGAACTCTTTCCCATTATTCATAGGTAGCCGACAAAATTAGTAAATTTGCTGCCCTTATCACTCACAAAAACAATAAAAGGTCAAACTAATCAGAAATTTCTTCAAGCTGCATCTTAGAAAGATACATATTTTAGGTGAAAAATATTCCGTGAATGGCTTAAATGTCTTTTATAGTGATCGTTATGTGTATCACGTTTGCTTACAACACTGTGGTTTTTTTCAAAAGATAGAAACAGATACTTTACAGTATGGCTAATCAGCAAGGAGATAAGATGTCAATTTCTGTCCATTATGAATTATTTAGTCCTACCAATAAATAGAGTAGGCTTATTACAGTAGTATCTTGAGTTTTTTGTGTGCACCATAATTTACTTTTACTCAACCGACCTAAACTATTTCTGCGATGCTATATTTCAACCTTTTTTGAGCAAACAAATCTGTAAATTAAACGAAATATAACTGATCCGCGAACTTAAATGGCAAACTTATAAACAGTTGTCTGAACTGCTTGACGTTTAATGTTATCTTTATTTCATGCAGGAATATTATTCTTTTTGTTTTAATTCTCAAGGTAACCAATTTATAACCCCTGGTATTTGATTACCTCTTTAAATTCTCTTTAAGCTCCTATAAAATGAATTATTACGTTGCTTTATTTCCCCAACTGATTTACTGTATAATTCTTAAGATTTCCATAACTATTGGATATGCATGATTCTGCATAGAAACCTTGTACTTAAAGATGGATTCTAAAGATAAACTAAGGAAAGTATAGTTCTGTTTGACGTATATCCTTCATCTATTGGAAAGTATATATTTTAAGTGCAACAATGATAATATTCGGTAACCGTTAAAGCAACAGGGTTTGACACGTAATTTAAAAACTGTAATTTGCGACTCAACATATTTCATACAGCTAACGTTAGGAATCGGATATCCTAGAGTTAATATAACATCAGAAAAACAAGCAGTTTTATGTACAGAATAAAACTTTTTGAATGGTAAATCACTCAGTGTGATCACCCCACAGTTGAATCGCCGAAAGAATATCTTATGAATACGCTACAAATTATAGTTGACAGGGATTTTATTTTTTCCCCTTCATTAACCCATTTTATGCTTGAAATCGTAAGTTCGACAGAATAAAGCTATTTATTACATGACGAGACTGCATACACATGTCTTCGGTTGTTATTTATTACGCATCAAGAAATATGGAAGCCATATTAAACATGCTACCGGAAGAGTTGAGTTTTGGGTCAATTGGAATTTAATGCAGTGAGTAACAATAACTCGATTGTTATCCAGGATAATTTTCTTAAAAGACGTTGATGGAAAAGAGAATAAGCTCCCAAGTGCACTTCTAATGCTCTTTTATTATTTGTACACCGAGAAACCTTCTAATTTCCAATAAAACAAAAATATTTGCTACGCCAATATAATTTTCGTCTCATGATAGTAATATGGTGAAAATAAAACTGTTTACAATTTACCTACATAAAAAATTACTCACGTAAGTTTGTATAAATGGTTAGGCAGATCACCTTGGTGTAAACACGCGAATATCCATTTAGTTGTTTGTGATTAAGTTCAGCATTCTTGTGTCTAGACAAACTCAGTTCACAAAAGGTAGTTTCATGGACAAAAATATTCTCTTAACAACTTCATCGAGTTTTACGGTTATGGTTCAGGTTTAGGTATAAGTCCCAACCACATTCAACAATATAGATGTATAACTGTACAACCTAATGAAGAAGTAGTGGGATTATTTACAGTCAGTTAAGTCAAACTTTTTGGCCAACCGGTTAGCTAAACTATAAGCTAGCATGAATACGTTTCAATGTCCTATGCTGTTCAGTAGTATATTTTGTGAGTTCGTCACAATATGGCATCCTTCATTAGAAAAAGTGAGTTTTGTAAGTAATTCCCTACTTTAGACCATTTATATAACAAGCATCTGTTCATAGGTTGGACAAGGCTAAATAAACACCAGGTACATGAATGAGCATTGAATAAAGTGGAAACTGCTTGGGACTCAAACATAAACTAATAGGATAATCTGTCGGATGATTTATTACTCAAGCATAGCTAATCACAAATTTATTCATATATATATATATATATATATATATATATATATATATATATATATATGTATAACATGTGCCACTGAGAGTCGTTTCGATACTAAGGAGTTTCTGCAGGTTGAAAAGAATTAGAACATCCTTAGGCAAAGAGATTTTATTTCTTTTTAAAACTCAAAAACAGCTAGCGTGGATAACATCCTTTATAATTCAGGTTTAATTCTAAATTTATCCTTGAAGATTTGCTTCTTTTTGTTGACGAAAAATTAATATGACAGAAGTTATGAACAATAATATGCAATCATGAGTTACCTTGTTTAAATTCTTCGAATTTTTCAATTTTCAATTTCGGTGATAATCTATCCAATTCCATAAAAACAACACCATCATCCGGTGATTCATTCCATTTCATTAATTTACGATCTTCTTGAATTCTTTCGATTAGCTGCGCATGATTTCTATAAACATCAGCATAGGTTAACTGTCGTTTAAATATTTCATTCGATTCTTCCTTGTTCCATTCATAATCTGGATCTGTGTATGTATATCTTGTCAAACGACAAAATAGTGTTCTGCATTGGGAATAAAAGGTAAATAAAATAAGTTATACTTTGCTCAGTCGTATGTATAGTTAGTGAATTCCTAATCCTACAAATAGTGTTCAGTAATAACAAATATGTAGCGTCACACACTTCCCCAAAATCAATAGCCTAGGGTTCGGCGAATCTCAACATTGATGCTGACCTTGATAGTTTAACTGGACTCGCTAAGCTGAAGGCACCCGGTCAAGCATCCTCGCCATTTGGCACGCTGTCGTGTTACGTTGCATTGCTCGTATTCGACTCTCTAGCCAGTTAGTTGGAACGCATCGGTATTTTGGCATAACCATCCAAATATACTATTCCATCCGACTACGCTATCGTGTTCTTCCTTGGTCTCGTATTCGTGGGTATATAACAAGTTCGAATAATTAGTGATTGGTCTTTGCGTCTGTCAAGTTCGCACCAGGACAAATCCTAAATTGGTGAGCCCGACGTGATCACATATCCCGACCAATAACAAGTATTGAATTGGTGAGCCTGTTCCATTTTATATTTGTTTATTGTTTTCATTTCGATAACATTTATATATCCATTTACTACACTTTCTCATGTCCGACCACACTCCCAAGCTTATTCGTATTAAGCCGACCTCGAACACGATCCAACTCGTGCCATATTGGCCAGACAATGCAGAAACATGGTTTCTGTATGCCGAGGCCGATTTTCGAGAACAGGGTGTCTCAGATCCTCAATCTCGATTTCTTGCTGTCATACGTTCACTACCGCGAGAATTAAACAGGTATGTTACAGCAAACATGTTTAATCCTGAAGTAAGTGACCCTTATGCACTTCTAAAGGCCGCACTCTTGAAGAAAAGCGATCTCACAGATCGCCAACGTCTAGACGAATTGCTTCGTAACATCGAGCTAGGCAGCCACTCAGCTACTGAAGTCCTCGCACGCATGCGAGAAGTAATCGGTGCACGAACATTTGACGATGGTTTCTTCCGAGAACTATTTCTCTCGAAACTACCACAACCGGTGCAAACCGTGTTGGTGACACTCCAGTCAGTCCCACTCGACGACCTGGCAGCCTCAGCAGATAAAATACTGGAGATATCCAGCAGACCCGTCTCCAACGTATATTCTATCTGCGACAAACCAGAGCGCCAGGATTCGGAGGTGACCAAGTTGTGCAACTCTGTGAAACGGTTGCTACGATCTCGAAGTCCTAGATCACGTAGCACTTCACAGAAACGCACCTTGGCGCATCGCAGCAAGTCGCGTGGTAGCCCTAAAACGAAACCCAACAGGGTGGAAAACCCTGAATGGTGCTGGTTTCATAACACTTACGGGGATGAAGCCAGAAAATGTCGTAAACCATGCCGTTTTAAGAAGGACACAAACTCGGGAAACGGTCACGCCGGCACGTGCTCACGGCAACCGTAGCCGGCGGAAAAAGCCGTTTGCTCTACGTCACCGACATTAAAACGAAAGTCCGCTACCTCGTCGACACCGGCGCAGAAGTTAGCGTTCTTCCAGCAACGACAAAGGAGCGTCATCTCGACCCATCCTTCAATCTTCAAGCAGCCAACGGCAAGGCAATCGCGACATTCGGGAGACGGTATGCCTACCTCAACTTAGGTTTACGCAAACCTATTCACTGGATTTTCCTCCTGGCAGACGTCTCTATGCCCATCATTGGCATAGATTTGCTAAACCATTACGATCTACTCGTAGATGCTCGCCGTCGACGACTGATAGATAACAACACAAAGTTATCTATTGGCGGCACCACCTATGTAGGTCCGAGTTTAGCCATCGTTAGGACTAAACAATCAGGCGACGCGTCCTACCAGGCAGTTCTGGAGAAATATCCAGAGTTACAACAACCGAAACACACTCTTCCGTGCATAACCAGCAATGTTATGCATCACGTCACAACCACAGGTCCACCTGTGGCATCCAAAGCGCGCCGTTTAGCCCCCGATAAGCTGCAAACGGCGAAAAATGAATTCGACCATATGCTCGAACTGGGCATTATCAGACCGTCAAACAGTCCTTGGGCATCGCCATTGCACATGGTGCCCAAAAAGGATAGCAACGACTGGCGTCCGACCGGTGATTACCGAAGGCTTAACGCCAAAACAACTCCGGACTGCTACCCTATACCCCACGTTTACGACTTGACCGCAACCTTATGCGGCATGAACATTTTCTCGAAAATCGACTTGGTCAAAGCGTACAACCAGATACCTATGGCAGCAGAAGATATCGCGAAAACAGCCATTATTACTCCTTTTGGCCTGTTTGAATTCCTGCGCATGCCTTTTGGTCTTCGGAATGCAGCACAAACATTCCAACGCTTTATGGACGACGTCTTCCGTGGTCTGAATTTTGTTCATGTCTACATCGATGACTGTCTAATTGCGAGTCCAGATAAGGAAACACACCTTAAACATTTGGACCTCGCATTCGAAAGACTCAAAAAACATGGCATCACAGTTAACTTACAGAAGTGTGAAATAGGAGTTGAATCACTCAGCTTCCTTGGGCATACCATTGACAACAAAGGTATACGCCCATTGAGAGATAAAGTGGCGGCTATCACAAACTATCCAGAGCCGACCACTGTGAAACATCTCCGCACTTTCAATGGCCTGGTAAGTTATTACCGAAGGTTTATCCCTAACTGTGCCTCTGTCATGAGACCACTCACAGATCTACTTCGAGGAACTGCGAAGTTCGTGTCTCTGGACAACGCGGCTAGACTTGCTTTCTCCAAAGTCAAGGAAGCCATTTCGAACGCAACCATGCTTATGCATCATGACCCCAATGCTCCTCTGAGTATTGCTGTTGATGCATCTGATTCAGCAATTGGAGCAGTTTTGCAACAGTTGACTGACAACCAGTGGCAACCGTTAGCCTTTTTCTCGAGGCGGCTGCAAGACGCGGAAACAAGATACAGTACATTTGGTAGGGAACTCCTAGCCATGTACTGTTCTGTACGCCATTTTCGACATTCTGTGGAAGGTCGTGATTTCATTATTTTCACAGACCACAAACCGTTAACCTTTTCCCTCAGCTCGGCGTCTGACAAATACTCCCCTCGTGAGTCGCGACAGCTGGATTACATTTCCCAGTTCACGTCAGACATCCGCCACATTTCTGGAGCAAACAACTCCGCAGCCGACGCACTATCTCGAATAGCTTCGATAAACTATATCGAGGGTATTGATCTCGTTGAACTAGCTCGGCGTCAAAAGGAAGACCTTGAGCTGCATCATGAGTTGTCGTCCACAACTCTCAAACTGCGACTTTGTCCTGTTGGATCAGACAAGGATACAATTTTGTGCGATGTCTCTGCTAGTCAACCACGCCCAATAGTTCCGAAGAGTTGTCGACGCAACGTCTTCAATACGTTGCACAAACTCTCTCATCCAGGTGTACGAGCCACCATTAGGCTTATCGCACAACGTTTCTGCTGGCCTGGGATGAACAAAGACGTTAAGGAGTGGGCCCAGTCGTGCTTAGCTTGTCAAAAGTGTAAAGTCACGCGACACACGAAAAGCCCTTTAGGCTCATTTCTAGCCCCAGACATGCGTTTCGACCACGTCCATATAGATATTGTAGGACCCCTACCAGAATCTAATGGATGTACCTACCTTTTCACCTGTGTTGATCGTTTCACACGATGGCCGGAAGCAGTACCCATTAAAGATATTACTGCCGAAACAGTTGCTCGTGTTTTCGTCGAAAGATGGATCGCGAACTTCGGATGTCCATCCTACGTCACAACCGACCGTGGGCGCCAATTTGAGTGCGGACTATTTCACGCTCTAACGGCACTTTTAGGTTGCACTCGGTTCCGAACGACAGCCTACCATCCACAAGCAAATGGCATGGTAGAGCGTTTCCATCGACAGCTGAAAGCTTCCCTTTCAGCTACAAACATACCTCAGTGGACCGAGGCTCTGCCTCTAGTCCTACTAGGTATTCGTAACGCGTTGAAAGTTGATGCTGGATGCACTCCTGCAGAACTCGTCTATGGGACCACTCTTCGCCTACCAGGTGAGTTTGTTTCCCCTTCAACTTTCAAACATGTTTCCGACAGGGCATCTTACGTGACTAGGCTTACAAACGCAATGCGTTCAGTTAGGCCTTCTCCGATTAGACCGCAAACGACTGATGTTTTCGTCCACCCCAGTTTACAGAAGACATCACACGTGTTTGTTCGCCACGACGCTGTTCGTCGACCACTTGAACCACCCTACGACGGGCCGTTCAAAGTGATTAAGCGACATGAGAAATTCTTTATAATTGAGCGAGACGGACTGAAGATACTGTCAGTATCGACCGTTTGAAACCAGCTTATTTCGAAGGCAACCCCATTGTAAGTGACGTTTCAGCTCGCTACATCCGACCGACGGATGACTCAATTATCGAAATTCTCGACGATGTGCCTGGTAATGCACAGCTGCAACAACCATCGGCGCAACAAAAACACGATCAGGTCGAACCGTCAGGTTCCCAGAGTACCTGAAGTCATATTCAACTTAGCTGGTGTGTGCCAACCATTTTTTTTCGAGGCACTATTTTTCTTATTTACCGGCAATGCAAACCCTCGTACACTTTGCCTTTTTATATCAATTTTTATTACCATACAATAAAACTTAAAAAAAACGGCGAAGATAAGCGTAAATTTTTATTTTTCGATATGTTTATATATAAATAATTCCCATTTTTACGCAACGTTTTCGTGGTATTAAAGACTTTTATTTATATTCCAGGTGCAACGAGCACTGGACGGAACGTCGAAAGGAACAGATGACCGCGACCGACGTACAATTCATTTATTGTATTTTATTTATTTAATCGCCACGACACCCTAGAATAAGTTCAGACAACCAGGGGCCACCTCACGCAGTGAGCCCATCGGAAGAGTTTTACCAGTGGAGAAACCACTGGGTTTTTACTTCCGGCTGGTATCGTCTTAGGGTCCTCACGAACCCACTGAGGGGGAGTGATCTGTAGCGTCACACACTTCCCCAAAATCAATAGCCTAGGGTTTGACGACTTCGACATTGATGCTGACCTTGATAGTTTAACTGGACTCGCTAAGCTGAAGGCACCCGGTCAAGCATCCTCGCCATTTGGCACGCTGTCGTGTTACGTTGCACTGCTCGTATTCGACTCTCTAGCCAGTTAGTTGGAACGCATCGGTATTTTGGCATAACCATCCAAATATACTATTCCATCCGACTACGCTATCGTGTTCTTCCTTGGTCTCGTATTCGTGGGTATATAACAAGTTGGAATAATTAGTGATTGGTCTTTGCGTCTGTCAAGTTCGCACCAGGACAAATTCTTAAAATATAAAGAGAACATAAATGTCTAAGAAGTAAACTTGGCACCTTGCAAAGTTCACACATGTTCGAGCTGGCATTATTTTAATTAAGGCTTTTAATGATATTCTCTTGACCATCTTTACTGCAAAAAAACCTGTAAAAAATGACGCATTCTGACATAAGTTTCCTCCAAGTGGGACGTTTCGAAACCTTACTTGCTAAATTCATGGATTTTCATTAGCATTGAAGTCCAGTGAAGGACCAGTGAAATAAAAGGAGTTGAGTTTACAACCTACCATTCGGCGAATTGGTAGATATTCATCTTGACTACCACAAGTTTATCTTCAAATAATTTATTTAAAAGTTATCTGTCAATTGAATGTAAATTATTGCCTAAATGAACAATTTATGAGAAATAAATTACTTTGAGAGTGTCTGTTGCAGGAATCAGTAATGTAAATTGTAATACCGTTTTCGAACATGATATGTGTGTATAGTCTTTCAGAGTACAGTTGGTTACTTTTCTAGAATGAAGGCCTTCTGCTCATGTTATATATTAAAGTTAAACAGTTCACTAGAATTAACTTTTTTATAGGCAGTCGACTTAAAGGGCAATTTTATGCTCCTTGTAAACTGTGGAATACAAAATTGTAACGTTTTACACTACAGCTGGTCAAAACAGGTAGACAGACATAAGTGGCTTAATATCTGATACGATTGTTTAAACTTACCACACTTAATACCAGCACATCGAGGATGAAACCAATTAAAGGGAAGATGAAGATGTCGAAACTATGCTGCTGAAACTAAACTTAATCAAACAAAGTGAAAGATATGCAGTAAGATTTTTTCAACTGCTGACCACAAACTCAAGTGGATGTCTCCGTGTAAGTACCATAACCTACAAGCTATTTCTTTTGAAGTCTTTATTTAATATGAGCAGTCGGTTACTGTCAGTCACTTCTAATATAAAAGTGGGCTACTCATAGTGTTCTCCTAACAGTGATACAAACTCGGAAATTTGTGATTGCATCTGGAAACAGTACTAGAAATGGAAGGTGATTAGATTATTTACAGAATTACATTATCGGTTTTTCTCCAACCCAGTTCCAGTTGATTATCGTGAATGAATTCAAAAGTTTAAGCGAAAAATTTAAAATAAATTAAACAGATGACTCATAACAGTTTCTAAACTGCTGTGAACATTCTCTGCCTTTTGATCCTCTACTCGAGAGTGTCATTATACTTCCAAGCTTAAATTCGAATGAAATAGTATTGATTTCAACATATTCATTGCAGACTGAAATTTTTCAAAGAACCACTGAAAAGCCAGGAAATATTGGATAGTTTTTTATCATTCTAGTTTAAATCTCTTTAGTATTGAACAATAACAACAATCACCTGCAGGATAAACATGAGGTTCATCAGGTCTCCCAACAAGCAAGTCACTTAATGTAAGTTGGAATCTAATTGTTTACGTTTCCCAGCCTTAATAAATTCATGATCCAGTACTACCATAGTTGAGTATTATCGGTGAGTAACTGTCTTCTCAACCAACTTGGTTGACTCAGAACGTTGAGCTTTCTCATTAGAAATCTAGAAAACCCACCTGAATCTGAGTCACTCATAAACAAAGAATTTGTATTACTGAACTTTTATGATGCAGATAACTAAGTTTAATTGTCATTATTATTATTACATTATCTATTATTCGTCCCTTGGGTTCCTAATGGAACATAGGGCTTCAGTAGCACGTCTCCATTGCACTCTCTTCTCTACAGTCTTTTCAACCTGGCTCCAATACAGCCCACAAGCCCTCATTTCCTCCTCGCACGATCTCCTCCATGTCACCCCATAGCTAGGACGCCCAACTCGTCACTTCCCATCTGGATTCCACTTGATGGCCTGGCAGGCGGTATCCCCAGATGGTCTTCTCAGTGCATTCCCAATCCAACTCCACTTCCTTCCAGTGCATATTTGTTGAATGATAGGTTCTTAGTTGGTTCCTTACCAGCCAGAGTTCCTTGTTGCTTATTCCTGTTATTATGGCCATCTGAGCTTCAGTAACGAGCCAGCCTGGGCAGTTGTTGATGAATGTCTGTAGTTTGTTGGAAATCCCTTTCGTAACACGCCAAGTCTCTCAACCATCACATAGAAGCACTGACTTGACGTTGGTGTTGAAAACTCGGATCCTTTTCATGCTTTATGCTGAGTGGAGTGCAGTAGATCTCCACACTGGTTCAGGTTAATGAAGACCAGTCTCGCTTTTCCAATCCTGGATTTCACGTTCTCGTCTGTGCAGCCTGTAGTTGAAACGGTGCTGCCTAGGTAGGTGAAAGAGGCTACTTCCTTTAAGTTTCTCCGGTTGATGGTGATTGGATCTTGTTGTTATTGATGGTGTTGTTGGTTTGGTATCTTCCTCACCTCTGTCTTCTCTACGTTCACTTGGAGTCCCGTCTTCCTTCTCTGCCTTTTTTGTCAACTTATTAGTTTTTGCCAATTGTCAATATACTATAAACTTAATAATAGCATATTTTGAATAATCCACTAAACCTAATAACCTTTTTATAACTGAAAATTTCAAGGTGAAAATAACAGAAATAAGGATTAAATATTATTAACTGCTCACTTAAATTCTTCTTGCTTATTAGTCGGTCGAATACTGGTATATCTGTCATTTGGGAAAGTGACCTTTGTAGACATTTTAGTTAGTGGTTCCGACCTTGATACATGTGACTGTAAACCTCTCAAACTTTTCATACTCATAAGACTGATGATGGCAGCTCTTGGACATTCATAATCTGAGCCAAATGTGACAAGATCCGTATTCCTTCCAACTTCATGTGCCCACTTAGGAACGATACCTAGAAACAGAAATATACTTCATCGGGTTAAGCGGACGCGCAAAACTCATATAAATTGACTTATGATGTGAAACATATTTGATTTCTAATTAGGTGTGAATACTTTCGCAAAAGACCACCGGTGTACAAAAAATAATAATATGTCGACAAATTTAGACAGGGAAAAAACTAGGTTACGTCGGAATTTCTTTACATAGTAAGATCGGCAATTTCTTATTGTTTTCTCACTGCTGAATATTGTTTTAAAAATATTCTCCATGAAGTAATTCAGTCTAACTAGTATCAGACTGACAGATAAGCCCTCGTATGAAAGGCTTCAAATATTTTAGCATCTTTTTGTTCGACCGCATACATAAGCACTTTCATTCAAATGACTTAGGATTGTATAGCCTGACAACGATAGCTAGTATTGTTTATTTAAAATTACTTACTTGTTCTCAGATATCCCACTGTAAAAGTTGATTGATTTACAAACACCAAGTACTCTAATATTTCAGTTCAGTATTTCTGAATATTTTGTTTAAGGCTGCATGTGCTAGTTAAATTAGTAGGCGGTGACTAGTTTAACAAGTATTTTAAAAGATAAATTTTGGTGAAAATGTCTAAAATACAACCAGTGTATCATATAGAAAAGTAGATTATCTTTGAACAGTCCTTCTACCAAAAACAGTGCCTCTCAACAGTACAACTGATTCTGCTTTGACTTCGTTGAGAAGATTACTAACATATAAATGAAATTTAAGGTGATAAGCATACTTTGACCTAAATATTTGATGACATGAAAGTAGACTAAAACTGACTAGTTTAATAATAATAATGGTACACTATGAATCACTTTAATTAAAACATCAGCATGTTATATTGATCTTGGTGAGTAGCAGAGGTATCCAGGACGCGGGTTTCGTTCCATTTTGGACTCGTCAGCAGGAAATGCCTGTACCTCAGTAAGTGATGGTGCCTCCACTGAGACTCGAATTCAATACCCATCGCTTTAGACATCAAACATTATCCACCAGTTTACTGAGCCACTGAAGCCACCTATTGTGCAACGGGGATCACTTATTTATACTTGTAATCAGTTTCATCCAGCATAACAATAAGATTTGATATTTGGATTTTCTCTGCCATTAAAAGTTTTAAAAAATTTCAGACTATTTATTGAAGAAAAGGCTTCGGATATAGTAGTTCGAAGAGTATTAGTAGACAGGTAATTCCATTATCAAAATGTTCAGAAACGATTTCAAAGACTTCACTTAACGACTGTCAATATCATGTAAAAAGTACCAGTTTTAGTAAGTTGATGTATTTTGATCGGAATGAAACCTAAGAAGAGAAGTCTGTGTCCTTTCATCCCGTTTAAGCCTTTTGTAAACTTAAATTTATGCATGAAAAACAACTTAATTGGCTTTCTTTCGTAAAATTCACCCAAGTTTCTAGATTTTCAGTGGATTTAAAAAGAAATCCGAATATAAATCGGATGAATTCATACTTTTCCAACTGCATACAAAGTGGCACACAATTTTCCAAGGATACTTGATATCCTCAAAAATGCTAATCATTAATGTGGCTCCAAAGTCAATCTAAACTTGTATATTTTCACAGGCAGTAATATAGTATAGCCAGTAGGCACCGATAAAACTATATATACACCTTTATATACATATATATATATATATATATATATATATATATATATATATATAGGTAAAGTAAATAAATTACCTGGGTTGAATTTCACTTTTTGTGTATTGTTAAAGTAGGCGAATACCCATGAAAAATAAGTTTAGCGCGATATATAATAACTGGATTTTCATCGGTTGAATTATTAAGAATGTGAATATTTTGAACTGCATGAAATTCCCTTTAATATACAGAAAAACAGTAGTGAGTGCATGAAATCGAACATCGTAATGAAAAGCGTACAAACAAGTTTTAAAAATGCAATCAAGAAATTATAACAGTACATATAAAAGATATGTCTTAATCTAGAAGAAAGCCTTCTAACACCAGACAAGGTAAAATTAATCATGAGGTTCAGCGAAACCACTTCAGAGAAAGCCTCTTGGGAGGTTCATCAACAGAAATAATATAATTCAAAATGTAACCCTGTTTAACACTATTTCTTACAGAGTTGACTTGGTTAAGGCTCAGGAAGCATACTGTTATTGGATCACAAAGATTTCAAATACTGTTTTACCTTAACTAAGAGCACCATATTGTGACGTTAAGCTAGGACAAACAGTACAAACTCAATGGCCAGCCTGCAAAAGTTGACATTCACAAAATAATACCGAAGTAGAAGACTATACGTCTTAAAGTTTTTACTTTGTCGATGAAGAGGAAAATGGGTTAGAACGCTTCTGAACAACCACGCAGTTTCTGTTATTTTTCAGGTATTACACAACTAGTCCAATAGAATTGAGTAAACCTCTTGGTAACTCTAGAGGCTCCCATAACGACCATTGAAATAGCCAACTGGGTAGATTTATTTTAACAGGAAAATATCTTTCCAGTCAAAATAAAGAAACCTAATCTGTTATTTCAGTAGCTGACATGGTTGCCTCTAAAGTTATTCAACAACCAATGAGAATAATGCTATGGAGTGTAGAGATTATGATGTCTTTAACTGTCACACAAGTAAAATGGGTAAGAATAAAATTCTAAAATCCCGAGTTCCAAAAATGTTGTTAGGGTACATTTAAAGGCTTTCCAGCAAGGATGTTCGTAAAGTGATGGTGCACATTGGTATCCTCATATTCCTTTCAATAAGTTCAACAAATACTTGGTTTGGAATGATAGAGCGTAAGGAAGAAGAAGAATATTTTGAAACTGTACGCAGACGTCCTACTCAAGGATTGACAGGTGAGCTTTGTAAAGTATACCTTGTTGAGTTCGAACTAAATCATGGTGAGGTTTATTTCTTCCCCATTGTTTGTTTTTGCACCTCATTTAAAAAGTGAACGGTATCTGCATTTCTCTGTTCAGTGACACTGAAAAAACCGCTGCCTCATCAGACATAATGATTTTGCTTTATTTTATATCCTGTTTTACAACTTACACTAAATTGTTGAAATATGCCTATTTGTAACATGTTTTGACCGGTGATAACGGTTCGACTTATTCTAGTTGCAAATTATTTACAGTGAATTACAAAAGGGATGTGAAAAACAGATAACATTATCCCCATGTTAAAGGAAGAAAAATGACGTTTATTAAATAAATGACGTAAAATGACTACTGTGCAACCTATAAGGTTACTGGACTCTAAATGAAAGCGACATCTGGTGACCAGAAAGCTTCTGATTTCGACTGTTAGTGCTGAGGGGAAGCTTTTAACTTTCAAAACCCATATGTTGTGTCTACCAATTATCAGAATATTTATGGGGATCCAAAGTGCCTAGGAAGTCTAGTAAAAAGTGGGATGTTACATTAGAAAATGAGAGGTTAATCTTTAAATGATCTCTGTGAGGAATTGTTACCTATTGTGGACGTGATAGAGCAAAGCTAATGTATCAAGACAAAGTAATACTGCCACTGCAGAAGATTATAAAACAATTTATTGATGAAGAACCCGTTTGAATTAAGTTGTTAAAAGTATGTGATTTAAAATGATTGCCGGATTTCTCTTGAGAGATTTGTCCGCAAAACTGTTGTTTGCAACTGTATACGTTGCAGGAAAATCTTTTAACTGACTTAGATATCCATAGTATCTAAAACTACACTACTGGCTGGTAAAACTGCTTTAATTCGTTATTTAGTTTATCAAAATTTAGTTCTCCTAAAGACTGTATATGTAGAAAGAAAGTGAGATTTCACAAAGTATCATGAGTTTAATTATCTTTTACAATTCATTCTAAATACTTATATTGTGTGACTATTGTGCTGCTGTTTTAACATTTACACTTAGTTTTATGGTAATTGCAGGAGAGTAGTAATGTTCATATTACTGTCCATTTGTCACCCTTTTAGATTCCTTGGCTCTTGCATGCCTGCCATAATTATGCTATTTTCTTGCTTGTTTATTTAAATATATGGTTTTTCTTTTTTGGTTCCGATCATATGACCTCCTAGTTTGTTTTCTCTACTGAGTTAGGAAATTCACTTCTGAACTACAGTTTTTATTTCACCTTTTGTTGTCGTGAGCATTAATGAGTACTTTGATCATTGAGTGAAGTGCTTTATTTTAAGCTAAGCTTTCTTTCTTTATTTTCGGATGAGACTAATTGACTCTACCTCTGACTTTATTGTGGGACATCAGATAGCTGACGGTTTGATTTTTGCACCTTTTGATAAATAGTACTGCACAGTTGGGTGCAAACTTTGTGTGGAGCTGCAGAGACTCGCTAAACGGCCTTAAACTATCTAACGGTCACTATGGACCTACTTCACTTACTACTAATTGAACATTCCAATGTCATCAATTGACTGGCTCAAATTTCTCACGACATTTCGGTTCTGTTGTAATTCACCCCAGAAAGATCTCATTTTCTAGATTCTCGGAACTTACGCCTCACCTAAGAGCTTATCTTCACAAATCTCTGAGGGATTCTATGGAAACATTTTTTTAAAAACATGCATGGAATGACCTCCGTAGGCAGACAACGGGATATAGAATAATGGACAAGTGTTCATGAGTTCAAGTTACAGCAGTTCAGAACAGTACAGTAAAGGGAACTGGACAAAAGAAGAACGAAATGAAAGCTAGTCAAAAGTATATAAGAGAAGGTGAAAGAATTGGAAAAAAGATTGGTGAAAGCATTTAAAAATTTGAATATAATAAAGAGTGCATACATGAGTGCCGTTTTGAGTGAACTGGAGCCATACGACCTCGGATCTGTAACCACTGATTCTAACATTCAAGAAACTTCATGCAGATAGCCCAAGTGCAGACAAAACAATGATTTAGGTTCGCTTGCAGCATTTATATTACGCCTAAGAATACCGATTCAAATTAAGAAAATCGATTCCTTTTTAAAATCTGCAGCATATTGACGAACTTACCAAATTGTTTTGGACTAAAGGACACCACAATTGGACAAGCTTTCAGTGGGCGAATCACTCCTTTATCCGGTGTCACAGTAAAGTGAGCAATTCGAGGTATTCGAAAATGGATTGGCAGATGTTTGCTCTGATTCGACAATTTTAAGTAACCACATTCTTTTAGTCCAATTAAACATGCAGGAAAATTCACACTTAGTTGGTTTTCATACAGTTGCTTAATTTTTATGTTTTCATTAATGATCGTCATATTGATTTCACTACTTCCTTCATCTGAGCTCATGACTTGTCTTTCCACATCAAGCTGTTGGGTGACTGGTGAAATCAATAATTGTACTGGTATCAGGCATCCTGTTATGATAATTTCCAAGTTACTTTTGTCATCCGATACAAATGAAGATCTTGTAGAATTTTTTAATTCTAAAAGAGTAAATAGTTTGGTAATGCATATTAACTAGAAACTTATGGAAAATAACCAAATAACAGGAACATATTTTCGAACGAAAACAGGAAAGATATTTCCTCTTATAAAAATGAAATGTGCAGGTATTATGCTACAAAGGTGGTCACTTGTTTTTAATTGTATAAATAGTAAAGATGCACTTGGTCGGGAGACTGAAATCGAACTGTGCCTGTTTTCTAGAGATTTTATCCCATATATGGGAGTAGCTGACTAAAGTCAAGTGACACGAGTTTGGATTCTGATGCGAAGCTATGAAGGCATTCAGTTACATCTGAATTTCTATAAAACAGGAATTGAACTTAATTACATCCATCTTATATTATTTGCTTTCATTTCTATACAAGCAAAATATCAGAACTTGATTACTTTCATATGAAAAAACAGGCAATGTCTCATAGCCACCTCTGTCATCAACTAGTTTCATTATCCTGATGAAAAAGGCCACTAGTGGAACGGGTTTCTTCATATTTAAGTGCAGCAATAGTAGCTGACACAATAATGAAAAAAAAACCGTTTGAATCCTGCTATTGTAGAAAACGACAAGACGGAGACAAAGGAAGGAACATTTATTACTGACGTCTTGTACAGTAGTCATCAAATATTTTACACCCTTCACTAAGACTATTTGCATATCGTGGTTCATTTCTTCTTCTACTTCTATCTGGATTCACTCTTAATACGCCCACATTGTCTGTTGCTTTTCTCTGGGCAGAATCTTTGCCTATTGTAGGTAATTGCCTATGATTTCTGCCGCTCTCTCAACATATACTACTTGTATCCATTCTGATCAGCAACACCAGACACATTATAGCTTTAACTAGGAACGTTGTAAAAACATTCACTCCTTCACACTGAATATTTCATGCTGGTGTTCATAGGCAGTCACTGCGAATGGATGTTGCTGAAATTCCAAACTACTTATTCAAGCACATTCTGGTATGTGCTGCCTTAAATTAAAATGATACACAATAATACCAAGGTCCGCAGTGCTTTAAATCCATTCGCCTGCTTTTATATTTTGACGTACTAATGAATCAGTATTCCCCAAGCTAATTTTCTCGTGGAACTCACTACCTAAAAATAGAAAGTTTAATAAAATGTGAAACACTTCTTATCTGTCATTCAAGACCTTGTAAATACTTTTTAACTGAAACGTTGGCTCTTAAAATGGCTGATAACTTTATGCCATATTTAGTAAATATTCTCCTTGAGTCCTTTTTGTGCATTTTGCAGGCCTCACCACTGATCAGTAATGATGGTGGGATACTACACTGGTACTACCGTATAGCACATTAGTGGTCATTAGAATAAGTTTTCCTACATTCTTTTATTCAAGGAAAATGAATTATAACCATCATACCTATGTAGTAATTTTAAGGTGTACGGTCGCATCTCCTGTTTGGCAGACAGAATGGTCATATTTTAAGAGGATTTGTGTTCACTGCTATTTAAGTGGCCTAACCAAACTAACTTTGACGCAAAGAAGAAGGACTTTAAGTTCTTATGGTAAATGTAATTGGCAAAATATTTCTTACCCTCTTTATTAGACCAATCACCCGCTCCCAAATCTACTTTGCGTATACGCAAGTAGACAGAAAACGGCTTTACCGGTGGAGATTCATTTAAACTGACAAATCCTTGTTTTGACTTCTTCCACCGCGGAGCAAGACACACAGAAACTGGTAGCTTCTCAAATGGTTTTAGTTCCCCGTGGTCAGGATTTATGCCAAAATACTCACTTAGTTGGATTGGTGAATCACTCTTTTCACTTTTTGATGGATTTTCAATGCCCGTGTTGTTTGTCGACTTCTGCGCATAAAAAGTGTGTTTACGGTCAAATGATCAAAACTCAATAGAACATTAATGGATATATTCACTTTACAGATATTTAGAGTAATAAAACCTGGATCAAAATATAGAATTCTCCTTGTTAATATAAAGAAACAACAGTTCCAAATTAACTGAAGACCTTAACAAGTTGGCTATTGGCTATTTTCATTCGTAGAACCTGCATCTCTATCAAAAACATATTAGGTCTGAAACACTTTTGTTCAATTCTAAACCTGAAATAAAGAGGACTCAGGATTTACCTTAATTGTGTTACTCACATCTTCACCTTTTGCCTGGTCCTTGAACACAGACACATTTTCCAACGTCCAGCAGTAGCTATATTTTTTAACCTCAAGATAACACTGAACTGTGTCCGTCGAGAGGTTGTGCTGTGGTCTCTAATAGAAGAGAGTGGCAGTTAATTGAACTACTCCTTTAAAGACATTGGATTCAAACATATGTAGATAAATTAAGGCTTATATTGAGGTATTAGCAGACTTTTATACATCCTATGGAGTCCAGATAGATGTCTACTGTCTTCCTCATTATGTGAATCTATCATAGACTTGTTTACGGAGGTTCGTTTCCACATTTGACTCTACAGTTATTGATATAGTCACAGGAGACTTCTCGGTAGACTTGAAGTATGCAAACAAAGTAATATCACCTGAAATAGGTTTAGATTAGGGAAAGGTGAAAGATAGCCATATAGGAAGTGGCATCAATCTCTGACTGTTAGTTGAACTATATAGAGGGATGAAAACTTCCCGATTAAGGTCCGCATGATAAACAAAGTCTATGGCTGGAGACTCCAAAGGGATTTCAGTTAGAAATGAAGTCAGAAAAGTATCCACACACTGTGCTCGTCTCAATCTTTACACCAAATCACATCATTTTTACCGTCTCTTCCACTCTTTTGGTGACTGTCTATTAAGTTCGACGTGGAGTTGTGGCCCACTGGTCTACAGAGATGACTTTCAACCAGTGGGTCACGGCTTTGAACACCGCTTCATCTACGGATAACCTGGACGGCCAGTTAGTGTTATAAGCTCTAATCCACTAGGTATGCCTCATTGCCCGCAGAACGGACGTGCACAAGGCACCTGAAGGGATTTTAATTCGACTACATTCAGTAATTTCCTGCCCATTTCTATTTCCTTCAGTGTAGAGCCTTCTACCTTAGTATGATGATGTAAAGTGTGGCAACCTGGGATGTAAGTCACTAATACCAGGCCTGACTGATGGTCACATTTATGATTTATGTTGACTTCAGAATATGTGAAATATTCTGATATCTGGGATAAGGGGTGTTATATCTTAAACTTCACGGCATATTTAATACTCACCTTCATTATGTACCTTACACTAAATATGAAACAATAAATTAAGCAAATAGGTTAGTCCTTCAAAAAATTAGCATGCCAATTTTTTCTGCACGTTTCTTATCAAATTGTATCGTGACCTATCTAGAAATACATGCATTCGTTCTTATATTTTTGGAGCTCGAATTTTTGGAAGTTCAACAATCATGAAAAAGAATGTAGAACCTTCGAATAGCTCTACATAACTCTTTACTGCCAATATCTATGAAGTCGAAGCAAAAGCCGAAACAAATTTGATTTTGATAAGTGCAAAATAAAATTTTAAAAAGTAGTATTCAAATGAATCTTTTCACTACTTCGCTCAACAAGGGGGTATCGAAAAAGGTATATTTTAGATCACAACGAGGTGCTGAAGAGAATATGTTCTTGAAGAATTAATCTCAACTGATTCACTTCACATATAATGCTATTTTCTTTCTTCATATGAATAACTGAAGCTGATTACCTTCCAATCTTTTCCCACTTCTCGTAAATAAAATCACTCGAAGTAAATTAATAAAGGACAATTCAGTGAAAAGATTCTTCTTATCGACGAGTCATTTTCAAAAGCTGTACGTCGTAATCGTAGTTACAATACAATAAAAATGATTGGTTAAAGAGAAAATTTTGGCCACTGAATTGTCTTTCATTAGTTTTTTGCCCAAAAATGCTAGGCCTAAAATTTCAGACAGACAATGCCACGTTTTATATGAACTTTATTCTTAGTGAATTTTAAGATGAAGCAGTGGAACCACTGGCACCTGTAAACAAAATATCTCTGGAAAGTGCATAGATATACGAAGTGACTGAAATTATAACATTTATCTACGCAGCTAAAAGAAATGAAAACTTCTGCTGTTCAACGAAGATTATCATCTGTTACGTATTTCTATGCCTTCTAATGAAACAAATTTATGTTTATTCTGTTCTTATTCCTAAACGTAACTTTTCCGACACTGATGGGTACACACATTATTTGACACAACCGTCCGCCAACATTTTTATTTCTGTCTCAGACTTGTTCTATCAAAAAATTTAGCACTAGGATTATTCAGTAAAAAATAAAAACTCTTCAATTTACTCTAAAGATAAAACTTGTTAGAATTGACGCGAAATTATAAAACTAAATGAGTAAAGTCATAAGAAAATTTCAAAAGTTGTTATAAAGGCCAGGAAATTACTAGACAACTCACAGAATCATTCTTATTGTAAAAACTAGCGGCAAATGATGCATCCCTTGGAGAGTAGTTTACTAGGTTCCAAGTGCACGAAACATCAGTATTGTAATAAACATAGCCAAAGTTCCAGTGGCTTATCGGAGCGTCATCTTCACCTGTGTGGCACAATCATTCAAATTTCCTACTGGCATACCTCTAGAATTTTCAACAGTCCTACAGCTTGTAATTCTAAACTCTGGTTTTATGACTTTGCCAGTGATCTCAAGGTTAAAAAATTTAGTTTCTTCCAGTTCAAACCTACAGAAAAGAAGTTACTTTACTCTGAAAAGTCAAACCTGACAGATTCCATGAAATCCTGAATCTTTTTTGGAATGAAGGTTACCTATGAAGAAAAATATTATAAAAACAATTCCAAGAATTCACTTTCAAATCAGTGTGAGAAAATGGCCCAACTCGACCAAACCGTGGCACTATAGCAATTGAAGGGCTAGAAGTATTCAATATCCGAAACGTTCCAGTTTGTGAACCTTGATTTTCGATGGGAAGTATCTTTGTTATTACTTTGTTTTCTTGTACTAGTATGCCAAAATCAAGCGATCGGGGAATATTCCACAGGGGTGTGGGCTTAGACCTGTTACGAGGACATATATAAAGCTTTGAAATTAAAACTCACATATAAACTGGGATTCTGTGAGGATTAGCCTCAACTGTTACTACTATAAACTCATTTGATTCCCTTGCTTGGGTCACGTTCAAAGTAATGACGGAAGTATGGCTCATTCCTGGAGCTAAATTTAGGTCAGTTTGGCTGCTTGTCAATTGAATGGACTGAGAATTTGAGTAAATTCAAAGCTTATATTACTTCAGTGCAAGGACTGTAAATGCGGACAACTTTCTTCTGTGCACAGACATTTTGAACTGTCAGTGTAGCTTTATATTGTGAGTTGTCATGTATATCTTGGAAAATGATCGTCGACGGCCTTATTCTGACTCCAAGAAAATCAACAAAATCAGATTTTCCTGGACACATCCTTAGAAAGCGAGTAGAGTCGTTTTTGAAAAGTTTCAAGGTTGTATCCAGAGTTTCTAGCACACTGACGAAACTAAACAAAAGTTACAGTATCCAATATGCTTTAGCAGTTTCCATGAACTCACTTGTTCATTCGAAATCTCTTCTAGATCTTGCCGTTGGGTTTCAGGCGCTCTGTAGATTTTGATGCAGTATGCTTATTAACTCGCCTGCTGTAGCTCTGTTATATGTGATACGCTTCTTTGTTGGTTTTATTTGAATGGAGATGTTTCATTTATCCTGGATCTACAGTGCAGATTGCCTACCCATATATCTTGTTGTTATCTTGTTGTTTAAACTGGTGATAAAATGGAACAATTGGAAGGGAACGATAATGAGGAAGAGCAAAGGAAAGAAAATGAGATAATCCAAAGTAAAGAAAGTAATATGGAAGCAGGGAAAAAGTGCAGGTGATTTGAAGCAAGACGGAAAACAAGGCACTAGCACCAAGTAACTCACTGAACAGGGCGAAACTGCTGCGAGTAAAAGTGAAGGAAAGAAGCGTGACAATTATACCAGGCATAATGAAGCTACAGACAAAGATCTTAGCAGTGGTATGGTACCCCGTAGTGGTGCGACGTATAACAGGGAGGCATAAGACTCAGCCAGGTTCGAGGCGGCAGTGGCAGTGGAAAAGACCTTTAGGATTTGTCCTGGTGCGAACTTGACAGACGCAAAGACCAATCACTAATTATTCCAACTTGTTATATACCCACGAATACGAGACCAAGGAAGAACACGATAGCGTAGTCGGATGGAATAGTATATTTGGATGGTTATGCCAAAATACCGATGCGTTCCAACTAACTGGCTAGAGAGTCGAATACGAGCAATGCAACGTAACACGACAGCGTGCCAAATGGCGAGGATGCTTGACCGGGTGCCTTCAGCTTAGCGAGTCCAGTTAAACTATCAAGGTCAGCATCAATGTTGAGTTTCGTCAAACCCTAGGCTATTGATTTTGGGGAAGTGTATGACGCTACAGATCACTCCCCCCCTAGTGGGTTCGTGAGGACCCTAAGACGATACCAGCCGGAAGTAGAAACCCGATGGTTTCTCCACTGGTAAAACTCTCCCGATGGGCTCACTGCGTGAGGTGGCCCCTGGTTGTCTGAACCTTATTCTAAAGTGTCGCGGCGATTAAATAAATAAAATACAATAAATGAAATTGTACGTCGGTCGCGGTCATCTGTTCCTTTCGACGTTCCGTCCAGTGCTCGTTGCACCTGGAATATAAATAAAAGTCTTTAATACCACGAAAACGTTGCGTAAAAATGAGAATTATTTATATATAAACATATCGAAAAATAAAAATTTACGCTTATCGTCGCCGGTTTTTTTTAGTTTTTATTACATGGTAAATAAAAATTGATATAAAAAGGCAAAGTGTACGAGGGTTTGTGCCGGTAAATAAGAAAAATAGTGCCTCGAAAAAAAAAGAAAAAAAAATGGTTGGCACACACATAGCTAAGTTGAATATGACTTCAGGTACTCTGAGAACCTGACGGTTCGACCTGATCGTGTTTTTTTGTTGCGCCGCTGGTTGTTGCAGCTGTGCATTACCAGGCACATCGTCGAGAATTTCGATAATTGAGTCATCCGTCGGTCGGATGTAGCGAGCTGAAACGTCACTTACAATGGGGTTGCCTTCGAAATAAGCTGGTTGTACGCTTTGACTAAGTCGATTTTCGAGAAAATGTTCATGCCGCATAAGGTTGCGGTCAAGTCGTAAACGTGGGGTATAGGGTAGCAGTCCGGAGTTGTTTTGGCGTTAAGCCTTCGGTAATCACCGGTTGGACGCCAGTCGTTGCTATCCTTTTTGGGAACCATGTGCAATGGCGATGCCCAAGGACTGTTCGACGGTCTGATAATGCCCAGTTCGAGCATATGGTCGAATTCATTTTTCGCCGTTTGCAGCTTATCGGGGGCTAAACGGCGAGCTTTGGATGCCACAGGTGGACCTGTGGTTGTGACGTGATGCATAACATTGCTGGTTATGCACGGAAGAGTGTGTTTCGGTTGTTGTAACTCTGGATATTTCTCCAGAACTGCCTGGTAGGACGCGTCGCCTGATTGTTTAGTCCTAACGATGGCTAAACTCGGACCTACATAGGTGGTGCCGCCAATAGATAACTTTGTGTTGTTATCTATCAGTCGTCGACGGCGAGCATCTACGAGTAGATCGTAATGGTTCAGCAAATCTATGCCAATGATGGGCATAGAGACGTCTGCCAGGAGGAAAATCCAGTGAATAGGTTTGCGTAAACCTAAGTTGAGGTAGGCATACCGTCTCCCGAATGTCGCGATTGCCTTGCCGTTGGCTGCTTGAAGATTGAAGGATGGGTCGAGATGACGCTCCTTTGTCGTTGCTGGAAGAACGCTAACTTCTGCGCCGGTGTCGACGAGGTAGCGGACTTTCGTTTTAATGTCGGTGACGTAGAGCAAACGGCTTTTTCCGCCGGCTACGGTTGCCGTGAGCACGTGCCGGCGTGACCGTTTCCCGAGTTCGTGTCCTTCTTAAAACGGCATGGTTTACGACATTTTCTGGCTTCATCCCCGTAAGTGTTATGAAACCAGCACCATTCAGGGTTTTCCACCCTGTTGGGTTTCGTTTTAGGGCTACCACGCGACTTGCTGCGATGCGCCAAGGTGCGTTTCTGTGAAGTGCTACGTGATCTAGGACTTCGAGATCGTAGCAACCGTTTCACAGAGTTGCACAACTTGGTCACCTCCGAATCCTGGCGCTCTGTTTTGTCACAGATAGAATATACGTTGGAGACGGGTCTGCTGGATATCTCCAGTATTTTATCTGCTGAAGCTGCCAGGTCGTCGAGTGGGACTGACTGGAGTGTCACCAACACGGTTTGCACCGGTTGTGGTAGTTTCGAGAGAAATAGTTCTCGGAAGAAACCATCGTCAAATGTTCGTGCACCGATTACTTCTCGCATGCGTGCGAGGACTTCAGTAGCTGAGTGGCTGCCTAGCTCGATGTTACGAAGCAATTCGTCTAGACGTTGGCGATCTGTGAGATCGCTTTTCTTCAAGAGTGCAGCCTTTAGAAGTGCATAAGGGTCACTTACTTCAGGATTAAACATGTTTGCTGTAACAACCTGTTTAATTCTCGCGGTAGTGAACGTATGACAGCAAGAAATCGAGATGAGGATCTGAGACACCCTGTTCTCGAAAATCGGCCTCGGCATACAGAAACCATGTTTCTGCATTGTCTGGCCAATATGGCACGAGTTGGATCGTGTTCGAGGTCGGCTTAATACGAATAAGCTTGGGAGTGTGGTCGGACATGAGAAAGTGTAGTAAATGGATATATAAATGTTATCGAAATGAAAACAATAAACAAATATAAAATGGAACAGGCTCACCAATTCAATACTTGTTATTGGTCGGGATATGTGATCACGTCGGGATTTGATCACGTCGGGCTCACCAATTTAGGATTTGTCCTGGTGCGAACTTGACAGACGCAAAGACCAATCACTAATTATTCGAACTTGTTATATACCCACGAATACGAGACCAAGGAAGAACACGATAGCGTAGTCGGATGGAATAGTATATTTGGATGGTTATGCCAAAATACCGATGCGTTCCAACTAACTGGCTAGAGAGTCGAATACGAGCAATGCAACGTAACACGACAGCGTGCCAAATGGCGAGGATGCTTGACCGGATGCCTTCAGCTTAGCGAGTCCAGTTAAACTATCAAGGTCAGCATCAATGTCGAAGTCGTCAAACCCTAGGCTATTGATTTTGGGGAAGTGTATGACGCTACAGAACTATTACTGAGGTAACTGTTGGAATGATGTGAAATCAGTTGGTTATTTTGGCATCCCAAATGCATGAGTACAGGGCGTGTGTCACCGCGTATCTGTGTAGACTTTTCATGTTGCTGTAGCAGACGCAGTAGTAACAGTCCCAAGAGGTAATGTGACCCAGTGGCTACAAACGGAGACAGTAAAATGTGAATGCAAACGGATGTTCACCCTTTGATGGGTGATTCTGTTTCACTTACGACGACGGTTGCAAAAGTGACCGTTGGGTGAAATTCCACCGTTCCAATGGCTTGGTTACTTAGTATTTTGTACGTCGTCAGCTGGCCGACACTTGACTTCCGGTAGCTGAGACAGCCTAAGAGTTCATCCTCCAGTCTTTTTTCTTAGGGTTTTCACCACATTCCCACATAACTTGCTGCTCGCCTCTGAGCTTTCTCAATAGGGTTCATACCTCTTTTGAGGTGTAGGGAGGAAAGGCGTTGCAAACTTCTAGGTGAGGCCGTATGCAGCCATGTTACGCACCAGGAAGAGTTCCCGCGTGAGGTCAGCCACGTGTCTACATAATAAAACTTTGTGAGCGTTTCCAAGGTGCTTGTGACCGGTGTTAACTTGTCAGTTAGCACTAGTTCCAGGTCTTTCTTTGTGGTCGCGTGAGAAAAGTGCTTACAACAGGGACAAAAGGGACATTTTCGAAGGTCGAGAGCACGAAAAAATCTTGTTCCTCACTCTGCTAGGTCGAATGTCAGTCTGTTATTATCCACCTTCTCCACAATCAATTTGAGGCTACCCTTCAGTGCGCTTGAATCTATATCGGGCATCCCAGCACTCTGCAACCTAACATTGTCTGTGTAAAGTAGAGGAAATGAGACAAAATCAGAGGTCATTTCCAAAAATGGAACACCAGCGGACCCTGAATCGCTCCC